ATTGTGCTTGAGGGTTGCAAGCGAAAGGAATCCGAAAGTGTCCCGAAAGATGATTGCGAAGCAGCACCCGACGAGGGACGGAAGGCCGTTGTTCCAATCCAAAGAAGGCAACGCCGAGCTACTGTAGCAGGAGAGAGGCCTTCCTTAACCCGAGAGTTCAATCGCTGGCAGAAGACAGTTAGGCTCGTGAAAGACTTGCCAAAACATGAGCAAGCAGAGATCTTACGAGGAGCTTGTTTCCTGAGGATGGCAGTGCCTGGGTTTAATAGCGCTCCTATTAAAACTGAGGCATCCCGGCCACCAACTCAACTTCAAAACACCTCAATACTCATTCCACCCCGTGCACTGAGGATTGAACACTCAACCCTGGACCCTTTGAAGTTTGCTGCGCGTACAAAATAAGACAATCCGCAAGTATCTTTTGCGGGACGATGTGTGCTACAAACAGTGCATATCTGTGCTAGTGTGATTAACTTACATCTTAAACTGTTGATTGCGGTTTGAAGTGACAATCTGTTGAACATTGTACAAACAATGCATAAGATGTTTTCAATGTATACTACGAGAGATCTCACATTGATATGTTTTTTAAACACAACCTTTCGCCTCTAGTTAAACTTAAATTTTGTTCATAGTCTTGATGGAAAATGAATAATACGAGAGATGCAGCCTCGACTGTTTTAGTTTTTGAAACACAGCCTATCACATGTACACCTTAGACCAGTTTTAAGTGAGATTCTGTAGATAGTTTTAATGAAAAAATAAAGAATGAAAATAAGAATTTATATATTTTGCTTTTGAGACTAAATAAATTCTGAATTAAACGCTATTAATTTACCGAAATCATCACCTGCTAGGTACTCAACCATTTGCCTGTGCAATACTTTTGGAGATATCACCGATATTCTAGCTGTTGTTAGAATTTGAAAATCAGATGATGAATTATCAACGTTCGACCTTTGATGGTTTTTCAGTTACTTAATATACGATGTTTTGTCAATTACTTAGCTCCGATAAACTTGAATGCACCATTGTCATTGTTCGGAGATATAAACCAGCTTTAAAATCATTTAACTTGTTCTTGGCAACTGTTACAAGCGAAATCCATGACAATAAAGTCAATTAGAGCTTGTTCCTCTTTGGAATTTAAAGAAACTGACCAATTTGAATGAATTTGTAATACGCACGATTTACACAAGGCTTTACAGATGCTAATGTAAATAAGATTTTTTGATGGTTTTGGGATTATTTCTACTTTGGTAGTAAGCTGCAACCGAGAGCGTGCCAGATTTTGTTGGTACGCGCCGTCACGTTTTCTTGTTTCATATCTAAGTAAACAATTGATCGCATACACCCCTCCCCCCTCTTAACCCTTCCGCCTCCCCCTTGATTGCCATGTCAATGATTCATCTGCGCGCGCACTTTTCTTTTGAGGTTTGCAGGCGGCCACTTGCAAACGAAAACTTGCTGAACGGCGTTCGTTAATTAAGGGGTGGCAGTCTATCGCTGCATTCACGTTTTTCAATCCTTGGGTAAGTTTCCTCTTATCAAGTTTTATCTTGTCGAGGAATTTTGAGCCAACATGCTATTTTTAAAACGAGGAAAATTTAATAGGAAACACCAACGTTGGAGAAATTTGTCAGCCTGACTAGCCTGCGAGCATTTTTTGATAGGTGCGCGGCACGGGCGGCAAAGCTGGAAAGGAAAAAATCTTGACGGCTTTTTTTCCCCTCTCGCCTTATGACGTAATCTCGTTCAACTCAAAATTCTCCCACTCGTCTGAAGGAAAACGGATTGAACAGGAAAACAACAAGCGTGAAGAAAACATATTCAAAGTCCCTCCTGAGAAATTCCTCTGATTCACAGAGATCCTTGAGCGAAACCATTTCTAGGTTCATCGGTGTGCGTCCTGCATACTGCTAGGATCAACAGTTTTAAAAGGTTCGTGTGAGTAAATGGAATATAGAAAAGATGGCTAAAGTTGAGATCGCAAATGAAAAACAGAAATACTTTTCGGGTAATTAAGATTTATGTATTTTTAACCGCAGACTTTACAAACAAACTTGCTGATTCTTGTTTGAATTATGAATTGCAAAATACTGTCGCATTACACAATACTGCTGAACAATATCCTGAACGAGTTCTTGTGACAAATAACCTCAACTCAAAGATCAGGAAGGAAAATTTCAAGCCTCAATTCAGAAACCGCGAAAACGAGAGGATGCATCGTCTGAACTAAAACAGATTGCACAAGAAAACAACAGGAGTGAAGAAAATAAATTCAAAGTCCCCCCTGAGAAATCGAACCTCAGACCTTCGTTCTGCGGCTCTCCTCTGATTCACAGAGACCCTTGCGAGGCCATTTGTAGGTTTCTATGTAACAAGTGTCCAGCATACTGCTAGGATCAACAGTTTTGAAAGGTTCGTGTTAGTAAATAGCATATAGGAAAGATGGCTAATTTTTAAATCACAAATGAAAAACAGAATGACTGTTCGGGTAATTAAGGTTAATGTATTTTTAACCGCAGACTTTACAAACAAACTTACCGGCTCTTGTTTGAACTATAAATTGCAAAATATTGTCGCATTACACAATACTGCTGAACAATATCCAGAGCGAGTTTTTGTGACAAATAACCTGTAGATGCAAGTTAAATCATTAATATGATAACTTTTTTTAAGTCTCATTACAGAAACTCACCTTGTCGAAAAACAATTTGGGGTGCTCAATCATTCTGTAAATAAAATTTTGTAAACTGACTAATTAATGTTATTCTGATTACTCAATTCGGCTTATAATATTTTATATTTTGAGCATCAATACACACTTGTTTTTGCTTTGAAATTTAGTAAGTGGGTGCTAAGTCGCCATACGTGATGTTAGATCTCGTTTCAGAGTTTTACAGAGTAAGTCCACAAAGATTATGCAACAAAATTTCACAGGCAACAGTTTGAAAAAAAAAGGGGCCTTCGCTCTAACGAAAGCGTAGAGCTCGAGATGTCACCTGTAGAAATTTATCTAGACACCAATTTACATTATCAGCTCAGTTGATGAAACCAAAATTATGTTTAATATCTCCATCGACACAGTATGACATGACAGTTTCTTTAGAAACATACTTTCTTTGTTCAGTTTTAAGATGGAACACTAAGGGAACATTTTATGCCGGTCAGGGAGTCGTCGCACACAGCTCGGTTGACACCGCTCAAGGGAAAATGTCCATCAAAAATCTCAACCAAGAGTATGCAATTGAAGTTAACCAAATTAACCTTCTGAACCGACAGTGAGCGCAGCAGTGTGTGGTCTATTATATTTTTGCTACCAAAATGTTACTAAACGAGGCTTATTGAATATGCGGAAAAGTGAATTCCAGATGTTGATTTTTGTGCAGCCTGTGAGAAGGCCATCGTCGCTTAGGCACGAGTTTTTCTTTGCCCGCAAGAGAATCATGGTATTAAGCAGTCGGCGAGAGGCCTGGAACGGGGTCGAGCAGGCAGAGCTAAATAACGAAATGCTACGTCACAGGCATACTGTGAATGACGCGGGCTCAAACGCACGAGTTTTAAAATTCAACGAAATTTGTTGAGAAAAAAGCGGCTGTCATTTAAAACCGAGATATTTTGTTATTGTTGGAGGCATTTTTCGGTTTCCAGTTTTTTAAAAGGAGAATATTAATTTTGAAAATATTTAGGGGGTGTACAATTTTGGAGGTTGTTCTGTAGATTAATGAAAAGCGGCTAGGAAAACAACGCCTAGAAGCAACAAAATAGAAAATCAAACATGTAAAAGACTCAAAATCCGTTTTCTTTAGGACATCTTTCGAGCAGTCGTCAAAAGTAAAGACAATTTAAAATTAAAAGCAATGAAGTTCCGAACGCTTAAATCGGCGCGAGATTTAATGCCTTTTCTCATAATTGCTGGCCTTTTCGGTTGAAATCACGAAAATAAAACCCCGCGAAATGCCGTATCCGTGAAATTAAGTACCAGCAGGGTACAATTTGAGAAAAGATCTTTGGAGGCTAACTGCTATTAAAGCAACCGCAGATAAGAAGCCTGATAAAATTCACTAGCTCCTGAGTAGGATTCAAACCCGTGTGTCTCCCAAACGCCAATTTGGTGTCTGTCACCTGAGCTACGAAGGCATATGAAGGGAGGGAGGCAGATTTACTTAGGCTCTTAGGTGAGTCGCAATTGATTGGAGCGGCCGTGCAACTAGTGTCTGGGAGGCATGGGTCCGAATCCCGTCGAAACCTGAACTTTGTGAGCTACTTTTCTGAAACTGCTTCAATTGCAGCCTGCGAAGATCGTTTCTCCACTTGAAGTGCCGCTAATTCTTATTCCTTTTTCGTTTAAGAAAAACAAATGACAAGGTACTTTGCATTCTGCAAATCTCTAAAAAGCAGTACAATAGACAACATATGACGCTGAAAATTCGTGGTTTCATTTTCGCACGATAATGTCACCTGTGTCTTCACTTTTGTATCACGATTGGTAGTCGTACAAGTCAGTCGAAAAAGCACACGATTTTGAAAACTGGCCAAGTCATTTTTGAAGGCACACACTTAGTCAGTAAATCACTTTGGCCTTGGTGGAAGAGGGTGGTGAAGGTAAATGTTTAGTGATAAGTCACTGTTTCTTTTGTGGTGAAGCTACTACAAGCCACGTTCTATTTGCCTTAGAAAGCAAAAGCCTTCGCCATACTTGTAATTGTCTATTTGTTCGGATTAAATCTAGCAGCACGTGTCCATTTCAGTTTCCTGTCTCAGTTTCCTATATCAGCTTCCTGAATATTCGAGAAAAAGATGGCATGTGTAAACAAAACATTTTCTCGTTGGCAACCGTAACTTTGCCAAGAATGGAAATTGTTGTTCTTTCCATAAATAAACCATAAAATCTGGAGCAATGACTGACCGGAAGCCCACCACTCTTTCATTATTTCAACTTGCGATATAATGCGATTTTCATATAATCGAAAACAGTGAGAATACAAACTCTAAAAATGGATAATCTCAAGGAATTACTTGCACCAAAAACATTTAACAGAGTCAGCCATGCCGCAATTGTTATTTGGATCCTGATCGGTGTAATCTTCCTTGGCATTTTTGCAGACGCAGAAAACGGCGAATCCAGGTATGATTTCCGCTGTGGCGTGGCGAAGAGTGAAAACATCGACCTAGTCCGTGGAAAATGTTTCGAGTTATACCAGAAGCAGTATAATAGACACGCTCTTCCTACCTATGGCTTCGTAATCATGAACTTTTTCCTCATTGGAACTGTTTGTGCTATTTACTCCCGAATAGTGAGCCCCACAGTCGATCAACTGTCGCTAAGCGCTTGTAACGGTGATCTCGAGAGACAGTCGCCCGACCACGAGAAGGCTGGAAGAAAGCTGTTTATCGCTTACTGCTGTCAACTTTTCACAAGGATTGTTTTGGGAGTTCTCTTTATGGTCCTACAAACTCAGGTTCTTTATCCTCTGGACTTTCCCTCCAGCTTTTCTTGTTATCCAACCTCTGGCGAGAACCAGCCTAGGAATTCTACTGGCGTCATGCAAAACTCCGCATACGAGTGTCATAATCAACGAGCAGCTAAGAAAAGCTCTTGGATGCGCGCTGTCCTTGTCATGAACGGAATTTTTCTATTTGGCATTCTGATGGAAACCGTCTATTTATTTCTACGTGCGTGGAAAGAAAATAGTTTTATGAAAAATTCAAACTTTCTAAAAGCTCACCTGAAACCCTCCCATGGCAACTCGCAAAATACGCTTCAGGAATTCATCGAGAATACAAAGAAAATTATTAAAGACGAGACAAATCAGCCTCCCCAACTCCGGTCGCCTTTTTCAAGTACTCCCGGCGAAGGACGCCCAGCTAAACATTTGACTCTAGATCAGATTTACACAAAACTTGTCGTTGTTCCAGACAGAGCCGAATATGACTTTTCTGGAGACAGATGGGAGAAACTGGCAGTCTACGCCAGATCGGGTGAGAAAAACATAACACCTAGAGGGCTGGAGGACATCATCAACAACGAAGACAGAAAAGTGTTGATTGTTGGTCGTCCCGGAATCGGAAAGACACTTTGCTGTTCCAAAATTTTAAGAGACTGGGCATTTAACAAAGTATTCCTTAAAACACCTGATGCCAAAATCCATTTTGATGCTACTTTCTTAATCAAATTCAGATCATTCAACGCGGCAACCGACCTTAGCCTCAGAGAACTGCTCACATTGTCAGAACATTCCCCCTCAGATCACATGGATGATAAAGTCTGGAATTACATCCTTGAGAACCCCCAAAGAGTTCTCCTTATTTTCGATGGAATCGATGAATTCAAACACAACTCAAAGATCAGGAAGGAAAATTTCAAGCCTCAATTCAAAAACCGCGTTGACGAGAAGATGCCCCTTCACGGTCTTTACGAGAAGCTTGCGACTGGGAAACTTCTCAACGGAGCTGCCGTTTTGACAACCACAAGACCTACGGCGTTGTCATGCATCGAACGTCTTTCTTTCGACAAAGTCTTTGAGATCCTCGGCTTTTCATCCGAACAAGTCGAAGAGTACGTAACCAAATTTGCTGAAGAGGACAAGTATGCGGGCGAAACATTATGGCGACACGTTCACGGTAACATGAACGTTCTCTCTCTATGCTACGTTCCTGCGAGTTGCTTCATCATTTGCTCAACTCTCTTTCAAATGGTGAAGTTCTATGGTTCTAAGAGTCTCAGCCTACCAACGAAATTAACAGATATTTACAAGAAAGCAGTGAAAATCTTTTACTTAAGACACAACGAAGAATTCCGCGATGAAGATTTCACTCGTGAAGACTTTGAATCGGACGATTTGCCCCTTGTCGTTGAAAAGAAGTTCGAGAAACTGGAAAAAATGGCATTTGAAGGAATTAGAGATGGAAAGCTAATCTTTGGAGGAAACGAAGTACGCGGAATGGAAGGCAGCGCTCTCTTTCACCGCTTACCCGACCGTGAAACTGCTGCGTTAAAACGTGAACAACAATTCTGTTTCATTCATTTAACAGTGCAGGAGTTTTTCGCTGCAAGGCACCTGGCAAACATGAGTGAAACAGAATTAAGGAACTTTGTTTCTATGAACATAGAGGACGGCAAATGGCAGCTGGTTTTTCAGTTTCTAGCAGGACTAATGAACGAGAAAGAAAAACTACCTAGCGAAATCATCACAGACCTTCTTCCTGTGGAAACTGAAGAGAAAGTAAGCCACGAAGAATGGACAGAGGATACGCAGGGAAGGAAAGTAACTGGTTGGCCGACTAAAGATAAAAAACATTTAGCAGTGACATTATTTAAATGTGCTAATGAAAGTAGTAAGATGGAAGAAATAGTTCAGAGAAAACTACGACAAATTAACTTTAACTTTGTAAATTTTGATCGTTGTCAACTCACACCTGTTGATGGTGCTTCATTAGTTACTGTAATTAAGAATGTTCAACAAATTTCACATTTAGAATTGGATGACAATAACTTTGGTCCATTAGGTTGTTTTGAGATTTGTAAGTTGTTAAAATGTAGTAAATCTCAACTGAGCTGGTTAAACCTCGCAGCAAATCAATTGACAGACGAAGGAGCAAAGTATTTAGCTGAAGCTATCAACAACAACAACTGCCAGCTTAGCACGTTAGGTCTCTGGGGAAATAACATCTCAGACATTGGAGCGCAGCTCTTAGCTAAAGCCCTCAACAACAACTGTCAGCTACGCGCGATACTTCTGTCAAGAAATAACATCTCAGACATTGGAGCACAGCACCTGGCTGAAGCCATCACCAACAACAACTGTCAGCTACGCACGTTACACCTTGTAGAAAATAACATCTCCGACATTGGAGCACAGCACTTGGCTAAAGCCATCAACAGCAAAAACTGTCAGCTACGCACGTTAAACCTCTGGGGAAATAACATCTCAGACATTGGAGCACAGCACTTGGCTGAAGCCATCAACAACAACAATTGTCAGTTACGCACGTTAATCCTCTCAGAAAATAACATCTCAGACACTGGAGCAGAGCACTTGGCTGAAGCTATCAACAACAAAAACTGTCAGCTACTCACGTTATACCTCACATTTAATCATGACATCACAGAGGCAGGTAGACGACACGCAGAGAATTTAATTAACAATAGTCAGTCTAACTGTCGCCTTTTTATATAGCATCGCTAATTCACAAATAATTGTTAAAACTGGAAAAAAGATTATCTTATCCATTTACAATTCAAGATGTGAGGTAACCAGCTCAGCGACAATGAAGTTGTGAATGAAAGAAAGATTACTAATTTTGTGAAGTGCTTATCGGAATGAAGAAAAATGAACCAAAGAACAAGCTTATTGAGAACAAAGGATATCAAAGTGTCTTTTTTTGTAGATAATTTAGTGTTAACAACTGATTTGAAAACGTAAATTAGCCACCGTAAAGGGTAAAAAAGCTGACGTTTCGAGCGTTAGCCCTTACGGTGGCTAATTTACGTTTTCAACTCAGTTGTTAACACTAAATTACCTGCTATACTCTCCCACCGACGCAGCACCACAGTTTCTTTAGAAACTTACCCCTTTATTCCTTTGTCTTTTTGGTAAACGAACCAATAACATTGAAGTAAAAATACAAAACTTACTGCATAGAAAACAAACAAACCTCGGACCTCTCAGGAAACTTTGTTATTTTATGATTTTATGTCTGTCACAAGAAATAGTTTTCTGTTGACTTTATTGAAGTTCTTTTGGAGATTGTAAACGGAAAAATTCGGTTGCTAGGATAAGGTTTTTTTTCTAGTGTTCGTTTTGTTTTGTTTTGTTTTGTTTTTTTTTTCAAATAGTTTCATATCCTGTATTGAAGCTCCCCTTGGTACTTTCTCTTCAGTAGAGATAGAATTCTTCTTAAAATCAACCTTTACCCTGTCTCAGATTGAAATACAAAATTATTCCAACCCTATTTTAAACCTGGACCAAAATTCCACATCCTGTCACTTAAATGAAAGAGGCTTATTTCCTTGAATAAGTGCTTGACAAGTCATTCCAAATTTCGGCCAAAATTATTCATGATACACAATCATTTTTAGTTTTTTCACTGTACACATGTTTACTTTGGAGAATTTGGTATGAATAAACTAAAAATCCCCTAATTGATATATTTTTTATTTCCATCACTTATCTGCTTGATATTGTAAGGAGAAATTCTTTCTTGATCACTTATGGGAATTACCAGTAACCCTTGAACTCCCATGAGTGACCAAGACAGAATTTCTTCTTACAATAACCATATCAATATTAACTAGATAGGTAATGAGAATTTAGAAAAATGTAAATTTGGAGATAAAAAGTTGATCCAAACCTAAATTCTCTGCACTAACATCATAAGAATTGTATGGTTGACTTTAAACCCTTTACCCTGAACACTAATATGCATATTCTCCATACTGTTCTCTGTACATTCCCTAAGGTGCTGGTGAGGAGAATTTGTTTCATTATCCAGAGCTTCTCATGACCTTAATATGTCATTTGGGGGTGATATTGTAAGGAGAAATTAGATGCTAGTCACTCTTAGGGGTTAAAGGATTAAGGAGAATTACAAATTTGATCTGGGAGTTAAAGGTTAAGTTAACACACAATTGAAAATTGCTTGACCCTATTTTTAATCAAGTTTCTCTTACAAGTTAACAAATATTCAATACCGTGTACATGTACATGTGAATCTGTCACTTACAATTTTCACGACTTTCAAACTTAATACCTATAATACAATATATTAATTAACTATATTAATTTGAATAACAGGGCTTTCATACCCATTTCTAAGAAGTAGTTGCAGTTTTACATTGGGTAACTGGTTGTTTCACCTACAATTTTTTTTTTAACAACCAGTTCCCTAACATCTAAGGTTGTTGCACCAACATCAAAGGGAATTTTGCGTAAGTCCCATCAGTCATTTTGCTAATATATTACAAAATGTTTAACAATTTCAATGACAGAACCTGATCAACTTCTAATCAACTGAAGAGTTGAAACAACCTAAGATGTTGGCAAACTGGTTATTAGCAAAGCAACTTGTGCACAAAAGGACTGCAGTTCAAACTATATGAGGAATTTGTATAGTCCTTCCACTGCTTCTTTCTTCCCGGCTGCATCGCTGTGGAGCAGTCTGCCCATTACCGACCACAATAGACCATTCCTGATTAAGTGCGCACCATTTCCGCCAATAAAACAGACATTTTGTCCACCAGCAGTAAAGAAGAGCAGCATCAAGAATGATCCCAAATCCATTCACTACGTAGAATATCACACAAGCTGTTGAAGTGCAAAGTTCAGAAGCACTCACAGAGATGGAGAACACATTCAGGAAAAGTCCCACAACAAATACAGTGAACCAGATTATTGGTGTTGGCTTATCTTCTGGTCTGCGCCACTAAGGTTAAAGAAGAGAAACAAAGTTAGCCTTGAAACAATGGAACTAGAAGTGAAAATGCTAAATTACTTTGGACTAGAAGTGCATATATCAGCAACAACTGTTTTCTGAGGCTTTTATCCCTTTACTTTCCAGGATCTAATTGCTAATTCTTCCCTCTAGCTACATTTCTCTCTACATAAGTTTTGAGAATTGATTTGATGTTAGAACAAGATAAAAACTGAGAGGTATTTTCATTATCTATTTGCTGGATAATGCATAGATATGAAAAGGAGAAGTTACACATTAATCACTTCTAGGAAGCAAAGGGTTAAGACATACACATCTGAAATTAGTTGTAAGGAATTCTTTGTCTTGTGCCACACAAATTGGGTTTAGAAAGAGTATGAGGATACTCTCGCGCCAAACAAATTGGGTTTAGAAAGAGTATGAGGATACTCTCGCGCCAAACAAATTGGGTTTAGAAAGAGTATGAGGATACTCTCGCGCCAAACAAATTGGGTTTAGAAAGAGTATGAGGATACTCTCGCGCCAAACAAATTGGGTTTAGAAAGAGTATGAGGATATGGCTCTAAGTTTGGTTTTAAAGAAATTCAATATTGTTAGTGGCTCACTGTCATGCTTCCCCTATTTTATTCAGTAAAGAAAGAAAATCCTAATTCTATCAAGCTCTTTTGTTTGCTCTATTTCCAAACAAGCATATAGGAAAAGAGAAGAACAAAAGTTCAAAGAGTACTGGGAAGGGGAGGAAAGAGTAGAAGAGCAAGGGGGGAGGGGTATAGCAAAGATAACAATGGTGGTGACGATGATGAAGACGATGATAATGGCAGTAATGATGATGATAGCAACTAAAAGGATGATGATTCTGACAATGAAAACAAAAATGTTAAGGATGGTAAAATAAAGATTGGCAGTATTGATATGCCTCGACAGCAAAAGGCTTGAAATCAAAAATTACCTCAGCATACGGCTTTCCCTTTTTCTTGATATCCACTTTATGCCGGCACAATTCACAGGTGTTCTTCACTTCTTTTTTAAACCATGTCAACAGACATGATGCATGCACGTGTTTTGCTGAGCCTGAACAGTAGCATGGAGTTATGAGGGGTTCTTCCCCTGAAGAATGGCAAATACGGCAGATGCTCTGCGACTCAGACAGATCAGAATTTTCCTGATCGGTTATTTTGCCTTGTATCATATTGGCTAAATGCTTCTGCTGAAGGTCTTTCATCATGTTGTAGACTCTCTGTTGTCGTTGCTGTCTTCCAGCAAGGGAATTCTGAGGCACATGGTAAAGAGAGAAAATTAAAGCTTATTATTCTCTGTACAACATTGAAAGGTGAAAGGTCTGGTCTACACAAAAGAGGAAACAACATTGGAGCCAGCATCAGTCCTGGTTTAATTTCTTCTGAGAAAAAACCTCCACTCCTTGGAAGCTTACACCTTCTGCTTTAGAAACTCTTTCTGGCAGCAAATTTACATTTATTTATCAGTTCAGTTCATAAAACCAAATGATCAAATGTTATCCACAGTTGCAAATCATATAACATATAACAAGACCTCACTGTGAAGTGATAACTACAGTCAAACTTGTATTAAACAGTCACCCACAGGGAATGGCGAGGTGACTGCTTTATCCTTTAACTCCCATGAGTGACCAAGATATAATTTCTCCTTACAATATCAATACAATATCAAGCAGACAAGTGGTGAGAATAAAGTAAAATATCAGTTAGGGGATTATAAGTTGATCCAATACCAAATTCTCCCAACTGACATTACAAGAACTCTTTGTCAGACAGTAAGGAGAATTACTAAATGAGATCTTGGGAGTTAATAGGTTAATACAGGTTGACTGTTTATTAAATAATACAGGGTCCACAGGACAGGAGTATAGTAAACAAATGATAAACATTGTAATTTTATGCCATTTAATTCAAAAATAGCTAATAAATACTATAGGGGACCAACATTGATTCTGGGAGATAAATGTGGATAAAAACTTTATCTGAAAGATTATTCTTTGTCTTATTTTAGTGGTTCCACTTTAAGTGACCTTCCAATACAGGTGGAAAACGATACAAACAGGCAGTTGGCACTTAGTTAATAGAGGTGAAAATTACTGTAACTATAGGATAAAAATTGCTCAACACAGGGTGACTGCTTAATTTAATTTACAGTACTGCTTAATACAGTCTCAACTGTACCTGGTGTCCCTCATTGAGCCTGGAGGATGATGCTCCAGAATCAGAATTACATGGGGCCACAATTTTTACTTTGGCGGCAGAAGCAGATGTAGATGTCTCCATCTCTGATGTTCCAGTAGTCACTTCCACTGCTGCCATGGTAATAATTTAAAAAAATCCTCTAGGGTTCATGCACTGCATCAGAAAAAAAAAACAAAAACAAGATTATTTGTGAAACTAGGAAATCCTACCACTAAAGTTCAAACCCTCTGACTCAAACTTGGCTAGCTCAAACTCCCTGTTAACTTGAACTAACTCTACTTTTCCTTGACCTCAAATTTACTTTCAATTGATAATGTGAACTTAAACTAAAACATTGGTCTATAAACATCAAAGAGTCAAAGCATAATTACTTGACATGTACCAACCTTTATCACCATTGATACAAACATCATAACATCTACGTAAATCCAATACATTTTAGCTAGACTTCCTGAACTAAACATTCCATCGAAAGTTCTACCTTCAAAAACAAACTTAATCTACAAAAATGACTATTGATTGTGCAAGAATGGTAATAATTGTTATAAACATGTTATAAACACAATTATTGAAATTCAACATCAATCCAGATAATTCAAATCTCATTGACTCAAACCATCTCTCATTTCCCTTCAGAGTTTTGAGTTAGCATGGTTCTATAATTATTACTGTTGTTGGTATTTTCTAGGTTTGCTGGCATTTGCTGAACTTAATGGTCACTGGTCAATAAATCATTGACCCTTAACTTTTAAACTTCTAAGATCCAATTAACAATTCTACGCTCTCGCTGATCACTACATATTTCCCTGTAAATGAGAGGGAAGGATTTGGTATTATAATTATTATCATGACATCCTCTGTCTGATAAGCCACTGTCTGTTCTCTAAAAACAAATTGGAATCATAGGGAGCCAATACATGTACAAGTTGATGACATGTCTGGGAATTAATAAGTTGAATTCTTAAATAGGAATAATTTATGCTTCTTTTAATCAATTTTATGCATGAAATCAAGCACTTTCTCATATCATTGTGCATAAACTGTCATCATATGCCAAGAGAACAGGAAATGGAGAGGCAGGTGTGGATTATCAAGGAGCAGACAATCAAAGTTTGACTGTAGATGTCAGTTGGCAGATACCTGGATGAGGAAATTGTCTGAGAAGGTTATTAACCTTTTTGCCTTACTGATGAAACGTAGAGAGTGTTATATTCATTAAAGATTCTTCCATTTTAAATGAAAATCACACGCAACAAGTTACCAATTAAATGAGGATCACCTGCCTGTCTCAAAAGATTAAGGATTCTGCTTATTAAGTTTACATTAAGAACATCAACTTCAAAAGAAATTAAAGAACTGATGAGCAATTGCATACACATTTGCATTACAATCTCAATTTTATTGATAAAATAGGCCGAGTGCAAATCAAGGAACTATATTCATTTGGTAAAAGGTATGAGCTGACTGAATATCAACAAAATATATCTTAAAGAACTTTTTTCCCAAGACCTTTTAATTGTACTGGTCCATAATGCACATTTTCTCGTACTCTCTATTCTGTTATTAGAGGGAAATATGTAATCAAAAGTTTATTATGTACAATCTATTTCTTACATGAGATGAAGAAAGAGTAAGATTCTCAATATTCGTGAATGATCGTTTTTTTTTTACAAATAGCTTTTATATTTCAAGCACAGAGATCCAATTAAGGAAATAAAAACAACCAGCTTTTGTGAGTGAGCTTATAGAGACAAAAGCCTATTCAATGCTCAATTGATGTCCTCGTTTTAAACTTTCGATTTTAAATAAGGACGAAACAACTTTCTTATGGAGTTTTATTCATCATATATGGACGTAAATGAGTTGAATACTGCACATATATTTAACATAACAATGATCAGATATTAAACTTCCACGAGAACAATCAATATTCAAAATGCACGGACGTGGGTTTAAATTAAATACACTAACGTGCTTAAGTCTTCCTCTGAACTGACTTGGCTGAAATTAATAACTTTTTAACATTGGACTATGATAAATATGAATTACAACTAAAGGAAAATCTATTTTGCTTACAGTCTATCAAAATGAGAGAGGGTAATTCATTTCTGGGAGGCGAAACGATCTCGTATTTCACAAACGATTGATCGCAGCTACGCAGAAGGAAAAAAAAGAACTTCCTGATCGAGTGAACAATGGCAGCAATAGATAGAAAGTGTTAATAAAATCCTCCATTTTCCTCATTTCTGAATTAAAAATTACCTCTTATTACTTAAAAAGATCTTTAAAAAAATCGTAGGTAGAAAAGTGAAGCTTTAAGACTTCAAATCGACGACAAAAATTGGAGAAAAACTATCGCGGGATAATCTTGCTGAAATGTAAATAGGTATGTAAGGAGGCACGAATTTGCCAGACGCAATTTGAAAGGAAGAGATGAGTAAATTATTTTAATAAAAGAATCTAAAATAGTTCTTACCTTCTAACTACACCATTAGGAACTGTTCGTAAAGAAGACTGGGCTTACAAGGAAAAAATATTTACGGAGCATTATCTTCTCTGCCAAGCCGGGCCGAAGCTTACAACTTTGTTATGAATTAGTACCCAGCTTAAAACGGTCAACAAAGCCAGAAGGAACAAGCTGGGTGATGTAAGAATGGATTTGTGCGATATTCGAAGCTCCTAGTTTTTGCCTTTATGAAATGAAGCCATTTTAAATAAAACAAAACAAGTATTTAGTGTCTTAAAATCATACTCACAGCAAGTACCGTTTAGAAATCATGAAAATCATACGATAGATTTAATCGCCTGTTTGTCTTGGCGGAAATGATCGGAGCTCGGTCGCAGCATTCGTTTCCAGTCTACTTTCGACTTGAAAGTTCGAAAGTTGTGAACGGTAGTACGCGGAGACGTAATGGCGAGGAAATACACTGAAAACCGATAAGTTGAGGTTTCTGGTGAACAGAGAGCTTAAAAGAGACTCGTTGATCTTAGTGCCTCTCTTTGAAAGTGGGAAAAAGCGCATGTTGATTGCTGATGGAAGACCAAGAGAGACTTCGCCATCAATCCCCTGATCGGTCTCAGGAGCTGGTAAGTGAGGGATTTCTCCTAAATATACAGGCTACAATTTTCCTAAATTTACAAGCTACAATTTTGCATCATAGTTAGAAATGATGGCATCCATATGGTATGCAATTCAATGTGCCACACTCTGAAGCCAAATTCTGATGATGACTTCTGAGGTCTTTCCCTTGCGCGCCGGAACCCACATAAAGGAACGAGAAATAGTGTCAAAAGCGTGTTTAATATGACGCTTAGGACTTAAAGTCTCTATAGTCTTTGTCTGAACGGAACACACTTAAACTAAAAACAGAAGGATATTATCACAGATCATGACCGAAAACTATCTGGCTCTTTGTACTCTCCTCAATTTATTCTCCATGTTTTGAACATAAAAGTCCCCCTCCCCCTCCCCATCTCCAGGTTGGAAAAGAGAGGGGGGAGAGGAGGGGGTCTGGTGTTTTCCAGAGGGCTGATACCGCATCAGTTTCCAGCTACTAATGACAATGGTAGTGATGTCCAGTTTTAGAAACAAATTTTTTTGTAAATTGGGTTAATGTTGAAACCATTTTGTTACAATTGTTTTGATTACTTGTGGTCAGCAGCCCAATTCTCAATGGAATTTGACAAGTTTATTTAACCCTTTAACTCCCAAAAATGATTATCATGTAACTTCTCCTTATAGTATCCATACATTAAAGTAGCAAACAGGTAGTGAGAATACTCAAACTCATCAGGTACAATTTATTACCTTGATTGAACACCAAATTCACATAATCAATTTTACACGGAGATGTGTTGTAGCTAGAGGGGAGAATTGATAATCAGATCTTGGGAGGTGAAGGGTTAATTAAATAAGCAAAAACCTGATATCTTAAAGTTTGTTTTGAGAAGAGTGACTCCATACTTAGTATAAGCATCTTTTGTATAATACACTTTGGAACTTAATTTTTTTATCATGTTTATTTCTTCTTTTGTATCACTGAAAAAGTATGAGGTAGCCATTTTGAAATTTAGCACCCCTGCTATAATCACCAGGATAGACCATCTTTCAATCAAGTGTCTAACAATCAAAACCAATTGAAAGTAATCACAGCTACAAATAAGATTGAAGGTTAACATCATCATTAACCTATAAGAACTCAAAATGAAAACCAGTACCTAGCTTGAGGCATGTGGAGACGTTAGTGACCAAGTTGGAGTGGTTTTAGTTTCAAATTTTATTGGTTTAGAGATTGGTGCAAGTTTTCTGGACTAATCACAGAACAAAGTAAAGCAAAACCAAAGCAATCAGAGACCACTCACCATTGGGAATTGCTCTAGATCAGTACAATGTGGGGATTTTGAGTAAGAGGCTGAATTAAATTTTCTCTATTAGATGGAGCTTAATGCTGGAAGACATCTGCAAGCAGGATCAAAACTTCCAAGGAAAGACTATGAGGTATCTATAGTATTAGAGTTAACCCATTAACCCTTTCATTCCTAAGAGTGACTGTTATCTAATTTCTCCTAACAATATCACCACTGAATCACACATCAAGGTCATGAGAATAAAGGAAATGATCAACAACTAAAGAAACTCTTGATTATTAGATAACTTAATTCTCCTTTTTAGCACCCTAGTAAATTTACAGAGAACAGTATGGAGAATATCAATACTGATGTTAGGGTGTAAAGGGTTAACTCCCAAGATCTAGCTATAAATTCTTAACACTGTCTGTAATAAATTTCTTATAATTTGAGTTCTAAGAATTCGGTATAATCAATGCCCATCCTTTAATAACATTGTTTTTTCTTCTTATCAAATTTTTGCTTTAAAACATGTTTTCAAGACCTCTTTCATTAAAGCAAGTATCAGATTATTATTATTTTAGTTGCAAATAAATTGTTCTTCTTAATTGCTTTTGAATGAAAATCCTATTTTTTTAAAGACATTTTACAGGCCAATGGAGTAATTTACACAAATATAAAAAATGGCAACTAGACTGAGCAATTCATGTCTCAAAAACTGAAAGGGATGGTCCCTTTAACTCCCATGAGTGACCAAGACAGAATTTCTCCTTACAATATCAATACAATATCAACCAGATATTGATGAGAATTAAGAAAAATATTAATTTGGGGATAATTAGTTGATCCAATATTAAATTCTCTGAACTAACATTGTAAGAATTGTATGGTTGACAGTGAGGAGAATTAGAAACTTGGTCTGGGAGTTAAAGGGTTAACTGCATTTTATAAATTCATCAAGATCCCTGTCTGTTACTGCAAATTTATCAATTCAATTTGCATTTCAACTGATAAATGAATCTTGTCACTTATTTATTAGACTGTCTGAGACTTAATTTTTCTGTTACAGAGCCTAGATTATGATGTCTGCTACAACAAGCCATTTTCAAGAATGCTTGCATCCAGAGATAAAAAGGTAAAAATATTGTTGAATAATTCTGAATTAAAAGCCTGAATGAGCCGTGTTACTTTTCCAAGTGTTTTGTAATGTTGAGTTAATGCAGGTTAGTACCAATTGCGATTTTTTTCTTCAGTTGATACATGTAATTACCAATTGAAATTGCATTATTATAGTATGAGTATCAGCTAATAGCAAAAAGGGGTTGGGTCATTGATAGGTATTGATACCATCAGTCAGTAAATATACAGAAGACACCATTTGATAAATTAGGTGAAGCTGTCCGACACTCCTATTTTAATAATCCTAAACAAACACTTTATAATTGATTTCATATGTCTCTAGAATTCTTCTCTCTCCTTGTAACCTTTTAATGGTTCATCCTAAACCTGTAGTAAGTCTGAAGATAATTTAGAACCCCATTAATGAGAAGAGGAGGACAACAGGGTAATAATTTCTCATTTACACTCCCCTTTATTCCACGGAACTCCTGTCTCTAGCCCCTTATTGTAAGACACTTTAGATTTAGTGATGAACATATGTTTACTTTTTTGTTCCCCATCTCTTTTTCATCTCTCATTTTCTATCTCCTATTTTCAAATTTTTTCCATTTTCAATTTCCAATCTTAGATCTCCAATCTCTAATCTCTAATCTCCAATCTCCAATCTCCCATCTTCCATCTCCTACCTCCCATATTCTATTTCCCATATCCCATTTTGCATTTCCTATCACCCATCTTCCATTTTCCATCTCTCATTTCCCATCTCCCACTTCCTATACCCCTCCCATCCTTATTCTCATTGGTTAACAGTCCCCCCTTACCTCTCCACAGTTATGTGTAGATAACACACAGTTTTTAATCAAATTGTTATCATTTCTAATTGTAAAACAGTCACTTTTGGGGCAAGAGGTAGTCCGATGGTTGGTGACAGGTGCTATTGGGATCTTGACAGGCTTGGTAAGAGTAGCAAATCCCTAGAAAAGTTTTTAAAAAAATGTCCTGCATCACTCAAGAAAACTATAAAAGAGGAAGAATTCCTAATTAACTTTTCCATTTATTAAATTCAGCATATAATAATGGTAAAAGCAATTGCCATTGATGATCTGCAAAAAAGAACAAAAAAAAAGAAAGAAAACAAAAAGACAAAAATATCAAACTGAGAATGATTAATTTGAAAAAATTTTGTGCTAAACTCTAAACTCCCCTGTGCTGGACTCTAGGTCAAGAGGTCTGGATTCAAGTTCTGGCTAGACATGTTCAGAAATGCATGGCAAATTTTGTCAAAATTGTTGAATCTGTCAAGCTAAGTTTGCTTAGACAAATTTGACCAATATTGGTCAAAATGATCAATTTAGCCAAGCTGATTTCGCTTTGACAAATTTGACTGATTGAAAGTACCAAAAATCATCAAATCCATGGATATTCCCTCGGTTTGACAAAATTTCATCAATCTGCCATTTTTTTACTATCCATTAATTTTTTTGTTCCAATTGTTTGTAGGTGGCTGTTTTTATTGACTATTTTGTGACGCTTTTGACTAAGTGGAAATTTCATACTATTGACAAATGTATCTTTTTTTACTTTGTATACCCTATGTTATTAAAAAGTCTAAAAACCATCTTTTGGTGTAGCATCAGGGCTCTTAGGGCCAAAGCTTTGCTAAAAACTCAATAAACAGATGAATTAATTTTTATAATTAAAAAAATTTTATAATAATATTTAAAAAAGCAGAAGTACAAGAAAGAAAGATGTTAGCTGAGAGTTTTGTGTCAATAGGGTCAAACTGTCCTGGTTCTCAACTCCACATGCATGAAGCAAACTCCAAAATTCCTAACTTAGTAACTCAATATATGAACTTGATGTTTACATTTAGTAAACAGAATTGCTTTTTGTAAGTAAGAAAGTTGGTAAATTTTGAACTTTACTCTCAACTGTTTGAAATCTAATGTTAGTAGCACTTTATGGATGTAAGTTAAGATTTAAGCTAAGGTATACATATTCATTGGCATTTTATCATGAGTGGATTTGAAGTATTAATAGAGAGTGCAGTGGATTTACCTTTGATGATGATTCTTGACGTTGTTCCTCACTATTGTTTGGACATCAGCCCTTAAGGAGTGCACTGCTTCTGGTTGCTTAGCTGTTACTCTACTAATATTGATGGCCTTCAATGGAGTATTTTGTCTTATAGCTGGGATTCTGTGTGTTATTGAGGTAAGGAATCAACAAAAGTACATGTGCTTTTCTAATTTGGTATATCATAAACGTGATTGTGTGTGCATGATTCTGTTTGGCTGTGAGAGACAATAGATGTTTTTTGACAGTTTCAGACAACAGATTCAGTCAACTTTTAGGTGGGACGGTATAGCCATTAGCCAGTAGTTGTAAGTGAGACTTTCTTATTGCTCCAGACCACACTGCCCCTCTCCACCCACTAGAATAAATAGGTGTGGGAAAACTGTCAGGGAAGGACTCAGGGAAGTTTGACAAACTGCTAGGTGGGGGTGGGGAATCAGGTAAGATTGATAACAGGGCTTCCCACAGCACCTCTCTCCTACAAGGAGTGTAAATGGGTACCATTGAATTGTCAGGGAAGCTTAATAAACTGCTGATGCATGGATATTACTGATGGACACGCATCCTACTAGCAGGATGAGAGAATAATAGAGAATCATGTCTTTAACTTCGTAATCCTTTACAGTTGTTTAACCCTTTACACCTAACATCAGTATCCAAATTCTCCATACTCTTTCTTCCATTTATTTATTAGATGTGATGAATCAATTTGATCTCATTTTTAGCCAGTAGCAGCTGGGAGTGGAATTCCAGAAATCAAGTGTTACTTAAATGGAGTGAAGGTTTGTTTACCCTTTACACCCAAACATCAGCATGCATATTCTCCATACTGCTCTTTACACATGTCTTAAGGTGCTGACAAGGAGAATTTGTTCACCAATCAAGAGCTTCTTTCATTGGTGATCATTTCCTTTATTCTCATGACCTTAATGTGTGATCCAGGGATGATATTGTAAGGAGAAATTGATGCTAGTCACTCTTAGGGTTCCACATTTATTCAAGCTTTTGTAGGAGCATGTTCAACTTGTCTATCTTTCTACAAAAAAATCTGGTTTAGGGCTCTGATCTCATATCCCCCCTCTTCCCAACCCTGCCTAAAATTTGGCCTCTTTCAGATGTTTCTTTTTCTTGACATTGTAGGTTCCTCATGTAGTGCGGCTCAAAACTCTTGTTTGTAAGGCAGTTGGTGTGCTGTTTAGTGTTGCTGGAGGTAAGTTGCAGATTTTACACATCCTCTTAGGTTGAGAAGAATTAAACAGTTCCAGGCCGATCCTAGATTGTGAACAATCACACAATGAAGATTGTTGAAAGTGTTTCCTTTCTCTAGTATGATAGTTTTATTTGATAAGTTTTCTTGTCTACATAATTATATATAACTTACCATAATTAATCAGTTTAGCGCTGCAGAATGCTAATTAAACTATGGACCTTGAGAGCAGGCAGTCAGTTGAGGCAGGCATATTAACAGCTAGGCACTTTTTCAATTTTCACCTTTTTTCAGCAAGAAGTAAGTTTATTTTGCAAAAAAAACAAAAAAGCAAAAGAAAGACTCAAAACAAATGTGAAATCTAGAATGGACAGTGAATTAAGTAAGAGATTTTCAGCCAATGAAGAAACAATCTATTATGATCATTATTCCTCTTTTTTTGCACCCAGAGCCATTTTTTTAGGGGGGGGGAGAGAGGGACAGGGAGGGATGTTTTATCTTTCTTTCGTTGGTGGGCAATAAAAATGTAGAAAATAAAATAATACTTTTTACAGGATGAGAAGGAATTAAATTAATTATGAACTATAGGGAATAAATGCCTAGAAGGAAAATGCACCAACATTAATGGGACACAAAGATCCATGTGATGTGCCTATGCATAGGAAAAGAGGTTTTAAAATATACAGAATGATGTAAAGATTAAAAAATTAAGGAATAAAAAAAATATTAATGATCCAACATGAACAATCCTGTGAGATGGACAACAAATAAACCACTGGTCCAGGTCAAAAACTGATTTTAAAATGGACTTTTGTAATTATACTTATTTTTCAAAAATAATTCAAAAGAACCAGGTAAGATAAAATTTCTAGAGTGAGGTTGGGTGGGTGTTTATTCAAGGCTGAGCACTTGTTAGCTTTTCCTACTTATTTGCTTGGAGTTGGGTCCCTAATCAAACCAATATAATTGTGTATATTATTCTTGATTAATTTGTTTTTAAATGGTCTAAAATTCAGGTTTATTTGTTGGTAAAGAAGGACCCATGATACACAGTGGTGCTATTATAGGTGCTGGAATACCTCAGGTGATGCACAGAGAAACTAGGCCCTGGTTGTTCAGAGGTTGGATAATGCTATCCACTGGATTAAAAACTCTATCCAGTGGATAACACCATGTGTTTAGCTATCACTTATCTGCTGGAAAGCAATTTATCCGTTGGATAGCATTATCTGCCTTTTTACAACTGGGCCAAGATGTACATGTAGATGCTGGTCACTCCTAAGGCCAGTTATTTGAACAAAGTTTGGCTATTGTCTAACTAAACTGTGTTCAAAGCCATTCTAAAACTGGTTTGAAAATATTCAAAACATTTTTGTAAACAGAATGTTTCTTTTTTCTTAATTTGCAGTTCCAAAGTATTGCATTTCGTAAAATCAAATTCAACTTCCCTTATTTCCGAACAGATAGGTATTCTTGACAACTTTTTTTACTATTTGATAATAATGTTATTGATGATAAGGATGAAAATTCTATAAATTTAAAAAAATTAATATATATTTTCTCTTGGCCCTTTAACTTCCATTAGTGACCAAGACAGAATTTCTCCATACAGTATCAATACAATATCGACCAGATAAGTGATGAGAATAAAGAAAAATATCAATTTGGGGATAACTAGTTGATCCAGTATTAAATTCTCTCAACTAACATAAGAATTGAATGGTCGACTGTAAGGAGAATTTCAAATTTGATCTGGAAGTTAAAGGGTTAAACATTGTCCATGCAGTCCAATACTCCATTGAGGCTTTTACGACTAGTGGACATAAAGCTTCTGTGAGAGACAAATTGGCACAGCTAGACCTCAAAATACAGGAAAATGAAACTGCAAGAATCTGGACTTCAAAGTTTCCCTCAGTAAGCCCAGACCTCCTTAGTAAGAGGAGGCCCTCCAACCAAACAGAACTACCTTGGAGTCCCTGCTTTCTAAACCATTCATTTGTACCAAACTGTATTGAACTACTGCTGAGGTGTAAACTGTGATGGACAAGCAACCCTCCAGGGGGGTATCATATACCTGTTGTCATTTCATGTTACAGAAAGCAGGATATAAGATCCAACCAGTTGTGTTGGTCATTAGCTGCAAGGGCCAACTTATCAATCACACTTTTTTAAAATTGTTAAATCTCTTCTAAGTGCATTCTGCCTTCACTATTCTTTCAGAGAGAAGAGAGATTTTGTATCTGGAGGAGCAGCTGCTGGAGTGGCAGGTAAATACTTTCTAATCATTTACTTTGAGAATTCACAGACTAAGACAGACTAAAGTGCACTTAATTTTTTACCAATTGAGATCAAGCATGACTTTTATTTGTTCCAAAAGCATTCCTATATTGCTTTTCTCTAAATGATTAGCATAGACCATCTGAAACTTTGTAATGGTTTATTTTCATTTTTTTTCCTCTCCAGCTGCATTTGGTGCACCCATCGGTGGAGTGTTGTTTAGTCTGGAGGAAGGAAGTTCGTTTTGGAACCAGGGACTTACCTGGAGAAGTGTAAATAAAATATTTCCTGTTGTGCACTTCATTCTCTAACTTTTAGAAATAAGTTTATTTGTTAGAGCTTAGTTGCCCATTATGGTTATGTGCCTTTTCACATCCATGTAATTCCTGTTCTTCCTGATCAGATACTGTTGCCTCGCTAGTAAAATCCTGCTTCAATTTTTATCAGGTGTCCATCATGAGGACAACATTTTTGGCCTTGAAATGAGTTCTGATAATAATTATACTCTTGAGCTGAGAAGGGCATTGCAAGACAGTGCAATGACCATGCCATAGATCGATCCAAGACCACTCAGTGTTGTATTATAAGGCAATCTTGATTATAATCAGGCCATCCTTTCTGGCCACAAAATATTTTTTCTTATCATAAATAAAAACTTAATTAATTACTACTGGTATAGGTTGTTAAATGAGAAAGAAAGTAATAGCTGTCACAAAATTACATGTTATGAAATGTTTTATTGGATGGAAGTTCAAGTGTCACTGAATTTTATTTTTTCAAAATTGTGTTTAGTTCTTCTGCTCTATGGCTTCCACATTCACATTAAACTTTTGTTTATCTGGCATACAAGGCTATGGCTGGGGCTCTTTTAATCAACCAGGATTACTAAACTTTGGAGTTTTTAGTGTGAGTACCTTTAATATTATTAAACCCCTTTGAAATTTATGATTTTGATATTACGAGGCTCTTTGGGGTCATAAGGTCATTAGGATTCTTTTGTCAATTTTTGCAAGGTGTTAAATTAAAAAAAAATTTCCCGGCAACAGCTCTTTAATATCTAAAGGACTAACATGATCATCAAGATCATTATCCTTATTGTTTTTGTCTCAACAATATTTGATGAAGGGACTTTTTGAAGCTGACCATAAGTAAGAGTGATCTTTTAATACCATTTACTTAAAATTAGCTTTTGAAATATATTTTTGTTGAATTGGAGGTAATTCTGTTTCAGATGTACAAAAGATGGCAATAAAGTGAGATATATTTTTTGACCTCACTAATTTTACTTTAAGATAAAAGCAAAATTAATCGTGTCTGAATTGTATACTAGTTTCAACTAGCGAGTAAGTAACTTTATAAGATTTACAATTATTACTGATGAATGAATTCTCTTTCCTGCATTTCAATTAACTCAAAGTGTCATGGAGAGGAGAACTGTAACCTGTGGAACATACAAGATGTTCTGATCTTTATAGCTATGGGCTTCGTAGGTGGTCTCCTTGGAGCATGGTTTAATGCACTGAACAAGCATCTCACAGTGCATCGCATTTTGCATGTGTATTCTCGATCCAAGCATGTGAGGTAAGGTTACAAGCTCTTTTAATGTTTTGACTCCTAAGAGTGAATTCAGCATCTAATTTCTGATCCTTACAATAATATCAACCCCAAATTGCACATTAAGGCCACAAGAATAAAGGAAATGATCACTAACTAAAGATATATACAGGATATGTATAGAGAACAGTATGGAGAATATGCATACTGATGTTTGGGTGAAGAAGAAGAAGAAGACCTTTATTTATTCAGGGTATCCCATTCAGATGCCTTAAGCACTGCTATCAATTGGGGCCCTGATAAAAATTAAAATGGTATGAACTTCACAATCGTGCTGAAATATTTCTTCTACAGGTAAACCCTTGGAAAAGTTAAGTTAATCATAAAATATGCACTGTATACAGTTACAGTAAAAAGGAATAAAATCTTAAAACATTAAAAATTTAGCTTATTAAAAATTACAGAACCATATTATAATAAAAAGAGTTTTTAGCTAAGTCAGTTCTAACCCTTGGCAAGTGCAGCATGTTCATTTGCCTCGTAACTTGATTGTGGACAGAACTGTTAAAAATAAAATTATAGTTTTTTAAAAATTGTGGACAACATCCTTTAATGGGTGTGAAGGGTTAAATGCTTATTGAAAATGCCCACATATGTTCTAATTTTTTTTTTTGGTTAATTAAGATCAAAGAGTTAATGCTCCCAGACTTACCAATCAGGAATTTGTCTTTGATGCATTTCCTTCTCTGCTTCCTCATGCTTCTGTGATTCAGACATCTTCATCCTCAATGATTACTTTAAATTGTTTTTCCATTTTCATTTTCATCCAGTTACCTCTTTCATACTCATATTTATCCTCTTTCTCATGATACTTTTCATCTTTCTCATCATTATTTTTATTCTGATGCCTCAGTCATGCCCATGCAGTCACGTTTTAAAGGGGATCATTCCAGCAGAATTTAGTCAGTTAGAGCTTTTCCCATCAACATCCCACTATTAATTTTATAACCCTAAGCAAAAGATTTGTTACCTTTCAGGATTCTTGAAGCAGTCCTGGTTGGTTTGATCACCACATCAGTAGCATTCTTTGGTCCAATTTATCTTGCACGTTGTAAAACACTTCCATCGGTAAGGCTAAAATGTTAATTTCTTATATCTCTCATTTAGTATGTGCACTTTGATTGGTCAATTTAAAATGCTGTATATCATTGTACAGTCTGCTCAATTCAAAACTTTTTCAAACTGAAGTCTTCTCCCTCCATTTTATTAAATGGTGAATTATAAGAAATATTTTGCTAACTTTGTCTTCTTGGTCCTTTGAGTGAGTTATGGCTGTGCGCCAATTTATGCCTGTACTGTGCCTTACACCAGGGCCCAGTTGTATAAAGGGCAGATAATGCTATCCAACTGATAAATCGCTATCTGGCAGATAAGTGATAGCAAAACATATAGCGTTATCCACCAGATAGAGTCTTATCCAGTGGATAGTGTTATCCAACCTTTGAACAACTGGGGCCTGGACCATAAATTTAAGTGGAAAAAAATTGGACCTAACTCACTGTGCCAACCTGGAACTAGGTTTAACCTCTAGTTAAAGGATAATTGTATACTTCCATGATATCATGCAAAACCTTTAATGAAGCACTATGAGTATTTTTTTTTTTTTGGGGGGGGGATGTTTTAGCTTGAAATATATTATTATATTTAATTTTGTATTTTTTATTCAACCTAATTATAATCACTTCCAAAATCTCAATATCAGTTCGGGGTTGCACTGAAACATTTTTCATGATATCAGTTGAGAAAATTAAGCATAAAATCACACAATATATTCCTGCTGATATTTTTGTTAATTCTCATTACTTGGAGAAATTACTTCAAACAATGATACATCATTGGGGTTGAAAGGTCTTACTTAAACCTTTAACTCCCAAGATCTCATTTAGTAATTCTCTTCACAATCTGATTCTTATGATGTTAGTTTGGAGAATCTGATATATCATAGGGAGAAATTCTGTCTTGGTCACTCATGAAAGGGTTAATGATGTGTGACCTATTTGTTTTTGGTTTTTTTCTACAGGGTAGTGTCTCATCTGCAAATAACACTATATCCTATTTTTGTCAAGAAGGACAGTACAATGACATGGCAACATTGTTCTTCACCTCCCAGGAATCAGCAATACGGCACCTTTTTCACCTGGATGGTAAGAGCCATTTTTTTGTCGCATATTTTTTGCCCTCTCTAGGTAATTTGTTTTCAGGACAATCATCAAGTGCTTAACACAACAAAGAATTCAGACGAGTCAGTAGTGATTTTTTGCAATAATTAGAGCTGTAGCTGTTTGAGAACTGTTCATTGTGGCTCCTGCCATTTGAGTTGAAATCTGTGCAGCCAACTGAATAAGATGTGTACAGTATGTTTAATTTGCGTCTTTGAAGAATTTTCCACCATTCAAACAGCTACATTATTTTACTCTTTACATGGAGCACAGTTAGCACTTACTTTTTGTATGGTTTCTTTTACAACTGGGGGAACTAGATAATGTGATTTCAATGGCTTATGTTTTATTTAACCATTTTATCCCTAAGAGTGACTAGCCTCTAATTTCCCCCAGCAGTATCACCCCTGAATCAAATATTAAGTGCAAGAAGAGGAAATAAGGAAATAACTGTCTACCCCAAAAAGCTTTTGATTGTCAGTAAGACAAACTCTCCTTGTAATTACCATTATGATATAGGAACTGTATAGAGAACAGAATGGAGAACTTGCATAGAGATGTTAGGAATTAAGATTGCAACAAATGAAAAATCATCCCTGAATAACCCTGACTATGTTTCTTGCTGCTTGAACAAGCATATACTGGCAATAATATATCACCCTAACTACGAGCATACTGCTCCTCAAATTGTAACCTTAAAATGTTTTTCTTTTTTTCTTCATCAGGTGCCTTCAGTTTGACATCTCTAGGAATTTTTTTTATTTGTTTCTACTTTCTGGCATGTTGGACGTATGGAGCAAGTGTTCCTAGTGGTCTGTTTGTTCCTTGCTTGCTGTGTGGTGCAGCTTACGGCAGGTTTATCGGCGAGCTCTGCAGGTAAAAAAGCAGCCTTAGTCTGGAACTAATCTTGGTTTTTCATCTTCTTTGTGGCCAATGGGAGGGGGCAGGGTAACTTGCGATGGACTGCATCCCATTCAGGGGGGAGTAGCAATACTCCTTGTCACTTCGTGCAACAGAAACTGGGATAAGTATGGGCTGGATGGGCCACTTAACCCTTTAACTCCCAAGATCTGATTGTTAATTCTCCCCTCTACCTGCTACACATTTCCTTGTAAGTAAGTTGCAAGAATTTGGTGTTAGATCAAGATAACAACTTCTACCTGATACATTTGAGTATTCTCATTACCTGTTTACTGGATAGTGCATGGATATTGCAGGGTGGAGTTACTTGTTAATCACTTCTTGGAGTTAAAGGGTTAACTAACTTGAGTACAAACTTATCCTCTTTTAGTATCAAAATGAAATTCCTTTATAACCACTCATCCAGAGTGTAAAAGCCAGTTTGGATAAATACTCAAGAGGGATTTAATATTTCATTCACATATTCAATTGTATTTTTGGTTTCATTTTTTTATTGAGACAGGCTACTAGGATATGAACACACTTACCATGGGACGTTTGCGCTGATTGGAGCAGCATCTTTTTTGGGTGGAGTTGTGCGCATGACCATCAGCTTAACTGTCATCCTGATAGAATCAACCAATGAGATCAGTTATGGTCTGCCCATTATGATTACACTCATGGTACTGTAGGAATTCTTTGTCCTTCTTATGTGTTGTTTTATCAGGTTTTACCTTCTTGAGAGCATTTAGTACCTCTGTGCTTGTTAGGGACACCATGATAAAATATTTATAGACAAGTCATTGCTGAGGATGTGATGTTGTATTTCTCTTATATTTCAAATACAACACCCAAAGGCCTGGATGTTTAAAAGGCAATAATTGAATGAATAGTTCAGGAAATACAGGATTAAAAGCTACTTGACCTTGATTTCTCTTGAAATAAAGCTAATTATATTAAAGGCTTGAGTTGTTTTACCTTATATTAGCATAAAATGAAATTGAAGGAAAACGTTTAAACTGTTAAATTGTTGGCAATGCTTAAATAAAACAAAACTCAACAAAAATAGTTGATTCACCATTGGTTAGCCTAGTTGTGCTTTGAAGAACCAGGCCCAGAACATGTAATCTCATGGTGCTTACCAGAGATATTGTGAGTACCAATATTCTAAACACCAAATAAATATACAGAAAGAGTTCTTCTCTAAGCTTTCATCATTCAAACAGATCTCAAACATCATCACCTAAAACATATTTTCATGTGTGTTTAGTTAATGCTGCTCATTAAAAATGAGTGGATAGCTCATGCAGTCTCAATCAAACTGTAAGATATGTTCTGATCAAATCTTTGTTCACCTTGTACGTGTGTGTTTCTTCAGGTAGCAAAATGGTCTGGAGATTTGTTCAATGAAGGCCTATATGACATTCACATTCAATTAAAGAGTGTTCCTTTACTTGAATGGACAGCCCCTCAGGAAATGTACAGGTACTGGTAAGGGTTTATGATGAGTCACAATCCTTGGTGAACGATATGCCAGAGATTATTAAATAGAAGTAAAATTGAAGATAAATTGTGATTACTGGTATTATAAAATATTAAAGAAAGAAAGCAGAAATTTTTTTGTGGAAAAAGCCTAGGGAAGCTTTCTTCAGTAAGTAGTCAGGTAATGGGATATCGTTTGGATTTTGCACAAAAATTGATTCCTATTACAAGCTACAAATAAATAATTGTTCATAGTTTTGTCTGTTGGGAGAGGTTTCTGTTAGATTTTGTGTACTACGTGAAATTGCAACAGTCACACCTCAGCTTGTTCTACCATACATATTAGACACAGAAGTAAATTAAACATGCAGTTGACTCCTGCTAATGAGAATGTGCAGTGACATCTAAGGCTAGTGCCTACAGATCTTGATAACTTGAACTTCTTAAGAGCTTATAACCTTTTCCCCTTTGAACAGTGATTAGGGTTCAATTTATCAGCAGTTAACTGTATTAACCTTAAAAAGAACATGTTTGCAGTTGACGTATTTAACAGAGTTGATGTATTTTTGTGCCAGAGTGACCCAGTAGTCTAAGCATTGTGTAACTGGAAAAGATCACGGGTTTGAGTCCATTACTTATTAACTGGAATTTCCATTTTCTCTAAGTCTTATCGCAGAAAGTTGTTTAAATATTTTCACCAGATTGAAAGCCTCAGACATCATGGAGTCCTGTCTGTCCTACATTTACCCTCACACGAGAGTTCACTCCATCATTGGGATTCTGAAGACAACAGCCCACAATGCTTTCCCAGTGGTGACCGTTGACAAAAACACTCAAAGGTTACCACAAGGGAATGATTTTGAATACAGAGTTGATTCATCAAATGAATTATTTGCTCGCACAACCACCTTTTCAAGTTTGACAAGCGAGCAAAAACTGCGACGACATTTAACAAGTCATGGAGAGAGTAGTGTGCTGCAAAGGAATAGAGCTGAGTCTGAACATCATCCAAGAATTGAGGGTGTGAAGAATAAGAGGAGAAAAATTAAAAGTGAGAGCCATCAGGATGATTTGAAGGTCACAACTTCTGCTCCTGGGATGTCCTATCCTTTTAATGAAGACAACTTTACAGTTCAAGGGAGATTGATGGCTGATCATGGTGTTGGTAAGTCCACCAGCACCTTAATTGTTCAGTAATGGGTATGCTTGTTTATGGATAAGTTTTTTTACCAGGTGGACTTGTCATGGAAAACTTTGCAAGGGAGAAGTTGACAAGAAAATTTGCTTGTGGAAATGCAGTTGGGATTTTCCTGTCCCAAACTTGAATCTCTACACATATCCAGAGAGCAGACTGTGCTGCAACTGTTCAATAATACCTATAGCCGCAAACGCTAATCACACGTATTTCAAACTTTACTAGAACAAACTTGACACATTGTTGAATACGGTAACTGAAAATGACAAAATTACGAACACGCGAATAAGCATAAAATAACTTACATCGTATGAGTGAAAGTACTGGAAAACGACAAAGCGAGATAAACAAGGATACTTACAAGACGAATGTGACCAACCCAAAGACGAAAACATGAAACCCAGAGCTAGATATGTAACGGTAATTTTCACAAACTAGACAACTAACCAAATAAATTACGCGCAACCAATATATATACGATATGCAAATAAATATAACAAGTACAAAACTGATAACTGACAAAGGACACTAATGGAAGACGAGAAAATAAACACCTAACACGAAACTATGAAACACCAACACTAACAAAAAATGATAGTACAAATTCTTGCGCCTACAATACCTGTGTGATGTTTTATGTACTGACGGTAAATTCTACATAACAGCTGCATTTGCCAGTAAAAGCCTTTCTAATAAACTTTAAAATGAAAATTCAGGTATATATATAATTATATATATACAATTTTATTATTATGACTGTCATTGCAGATGTCCCTAGTGGTGCAATTAACCCAAATTTTAGTACTGTATCAGTCCCTGTTTTGACAGACCGGGAGGAGCCCCAGGCACTGACATTTCATGGGCTCATTCTCAGGTCACAGCTGGTAACTCTTCTAAAAGAGAGAGTATTCTACACTGAGAATACACAGGTAAAGCCCACAGTTGCCAGTGATATTGTAGTCAAGTACACTCATTGTAAGAAGTTTTACTGAGTCAGGAGCAGCAAACACAGCAATAGACTATGAGCAGTTTCTCCTTTTTGAAGTAAAAAAAATCAGGAAGGAAGAAATAGATATTAGTGTGCTGCACAGAATTCTTGGGGTGAGGGGAGTGATAATTTAGAAAAGCATTAATTTTACAAATTAAATTGATGTTAAAGTGCTGGTCAGATGGTATAAACCAACAAAAGATTGAAAGATGAGGAACCAAGGGAAATTGAAATAAAGGGAGAAAAGAGAAGACAAGAAAAAGCATTTACTAGATTTACACAAAGAAAGAATGAGCTTGTTTTGAGCAACCAAAAGTACCTATTAATGCTCAGCTATTATGACTGGAAATTAATAAACACCTGTTAATTTATATTGTACGTCACTTGACATTGTTGATATTTCAGACACCCAAGAGACGTGACCTTAATTTTGAAAGTATGACTGAAGACTATCCTCGGTTTCCTGACATTCATGACGTGCCAGTTGAATTTGAAGATCAACAGAAAATTATGGTGAGCAAACTCATACTCAGTTAGATTATATCGCTGCAAAGTGTGTTTCTTTACAGGGAAGCAGGTTGAAGGTTTCAAGATCTAGATGTAACTTAAAAATTTCAATCATAGGAAAGGGAGTTTTTCATTACAGTATTGACACATTTTGAAACAGAAAGGTGATAAGAAGGAAGAAAAACATCAACTAGGGAAAATAGTTGAATGTAATGCCAACATCTCAGGGTTAGCATTTCAAGTGATGTTTAGGAAAAGTGCAGATAAGTTATACTTAACACTTAATTGGCATGAAAGGGGTTATTGATAAGTGCTCCATCATTCCTAGTTTTTTTTTGGCACCATTTTGTTTCTTTCAGGATGTAACCCCCTATATGAACCCTTGCCCATATATGGTATTTCCTTGGACCCCTGTGCCACTGGTCTTCAATCTATTTAGGACAATGGGGCTGCGGCATTTGATCGTGGTTAACACTAAAGGGCAGGTAAGTCTTGCGCAAGGATAAGCTATGCACATGTAGTGTCTGGGGCTCTTGTCTAGGTGTGAGCTCATTCTATTGTCACAGTGATGCACTTGCCTTCTGTAAAGCTCTGACTATGAACACTTCAACTTCCATGAGTGACCAAGACAAAATTTCTCCTTACAGTATTGGTACAATATGAAGAAGACAAGTGATGAGAATCAAGAAAAATACTTATCAGGGGATTATTATTTGATCTAATACCAAATTCTCCAAAGTAAAATTATGGAAGAATTGTCTGTCAGGCAGAATGGAGAATTACTATTGAGATCTTGGGAGTGAAAGGGTTAACTGAAAATTTGAATGTTATTGTACCAAGGAGGAGCCAATCCAAGAATTAAGAGTTTACTGGTCTGTGATTGACATTGGCTGTAACTTTTTGGTTTCTTCATGTGCCCTGATTTCTCTAACCTTTGATGGGAGTGATCTGAACGTATAGAATGTTCCCTTACTATATGACAGAGCTTTTTTGTTTACATGATTTTGTGAGTTTCATTGAGGCAAGTCTTGCATTGACTTTCTTCACCTTGTAGTATGAAGTGTTAATGGGCTAAGTATGCATCTGGGTGCCCTGTGTAGACTAAAATTCCATTCATGAGAGGAAGCATGTTATGCTTGGTCACATTGGTCACTTGGTCACTTATCGCCGACGTCTCTACTCGATTTTATATATCGGCGAGTTGGCATTGGCAAGTTGAACCATCGGCGAGTTGACTGGATACCTGTCACATAATGCATTCAATGACTATAAACTGGCCATTGATGGTGGCAAAGTTTGTGACTTTAATTGCATAGTCAACAACTTACTATCTATACAGATTTTGAGTCAGTGTGTATTGAAGATTCTTAATATTCATATTGATATTTTCCTATTTCAGCTTGTGGGAATGATAACACGTTACAATTTAACCCATGAATATATGGAGCACTGTTTAGAAAACCTTGGCTGAAACTAAAAGTACTACTTGCTGGATGTAAAATTAGACAATCTGCTGGGATTTAATTTTTATAACACTTTAATTAGGAAAATATTCCTCACCATTTGTACCATAATTTTTTTTTTCCAGTGGAAAGTAATTACTTTTTTATGCTGTGAATGGAGGGGTGAATGAATAAATTAATGAATGAATTTAGTGACTGGGAGAAAAGGATTACAGATGTAAGAAATATTAAATTTTCCATGTACAAAATAAAATTTTAGATTAACTTAAGAAATTGATAGATTTTTGCAGTTTACTTTTATAGGAAGAGTAGAGAGGATTCATGCAGAAAAAGATGTTTCCAACATAAATTTGCATGAGTAGTAATAACAATTTTTAAAGAGGTAGAATTTAAAAAATTGCATCTATCTAATTTTTGGAAATTTTAGGCTTGGTTGTAGTTTGGTAATACAACCATTTTCAAATTTTATGTTTGTGATGCAGAGACAAAATTTCAATAGGATAATGAAAAAAGAAATGAATTAAATCAAATGCAAAACATAGGTGTAAAAGATGCTTATTTTAATAATTAGTTTTTGTTTAAAAGAATATTTTTACATACATTAGAAATAAGAATATTCTGTTATTAAAATTACAAGTTGTAAAAGTTTTTTTTATAAAATTAAATAAAATGGCCAAAATTTATGCATATCATTTTCTCCATTATTTGTTTCATTGTAACACAACAAATGGAACATTGAAATGAAAAAAAGTACAAGGACCAGAATGACTCCTCAGTTACACAGAATCAATATTTGACAGCTTACCATGCCCTTGATTTTTTATCACAGATTTTCAACCCTCTACACCCCAATATCAACTTGTGCATAATCTCCATACAGTTCTTCATACATTTCTAAGGTGCTGACACAAGAGTCTCTTTAGTTGGTGATCTTTTCCTCTTTTCTTGTAACCTGTTTGATTCAGGGGTGATAATGTGGGGAGAAATTAGACACTGGTCAATCTAAGGAGTGAAAGGGTAAAGGCAAACATTCTTCTCTCCACTATTTCACTGTTCAAATGTACAAAATCTTTATTTTTCCCTCTGCTATAGAAACAGCATTGCAAGTAAAGCCTCAGGAAACTTTACATTTTTGCATCTTATTTGAGGAAAACAAACCCTTTGAGTTTCTTTATTTTGTGCTTGCATCAAACTTAACACAATTCCTTCTATTTTGTGACATCTACATATAACCAGTAGTGATGAAAGAAATCTAACAATTCCACCATTTGTTAAAACATTTACAGTTATCTTTGTTACCTTACACCACAAAGTTAGCATATTATTTTATTACTTTTCCTGGAAATAGAAAGTTAGTATTTGTGGAAGGTAAAATTCACCATTCTTTGCAAAATCTTATAATACTTTAAAATTCTATATGCTTCCTCTTCAGTAAGATTTCCAAATTCCCTCTTACAAATTTCAAGTTTCCTCTACACTAAAAAACAACCTTTTAACACTAGTTCACTCATTTTATATTTTCAATTAAAGTACCTGTGAAATATTTGACTAACTGGTCTTCTTAAGATAAGATTTAATTACACCATTAACATTCTTTTTTTTCCCAAAATTATTTGTTTACTGACAATAAATTCATGCAGATCCTTTGGGATACTGATCCTTCCAGTCACACATTAAGAACAGTGCCTTAACCCTTTAACTCTCAAGATCCAATTATTAATTCTCCCCTCTAACTCCTAGAGATTTCCTTGTAAATAAGTTACACGAATTTGGGGCTAGATCTTGGTAACAATACTTCCAATCGTCCCCATTATTTTCACATGGGTAGTAAGGGTCAGTCCAATTATTTGTAGCATACAAAGTTCTTCACATGTCCTGGGAGAGGAAGCTGTTGAACATTCTGGTCAATGTCCTTTGACTGCAGCGAGTGAACAGGAGATCTGCCAGTTGTGATAGCTCCTCTGATGACATGACGTATTTGGCTGCGACAAATTTCTTGTAAGGGGCGAAGTATTTTTATGTCGCATTGGTCGCATTTTCCACTCTTGGTTATGTTCTCGTTCCCTTGGATTTGACACTTGGAGCAGAAATGCTTCAGACAGGAATTACACTGAAACACAAGGAATATGGTTTTGAAATGAAATACAATTTTCTGGCCAGAGGAAGCACTTCTAGCCTCTTTCGCCTTTCCACTCCACTCAAAAAATTACCACTAGTTACTATAAAATTTCGTTTCTCAGTTTGAATGTTCTGTAAAATGGATTCTAAGTGATACTTTAAAACTGTATTAACTACGGCTTTCTTAGCGCGGCTAAAATTTAGACCTGCAACAGTTGCAAGAATTTCAGCACAATACGAGTACAAAGTTGTAATTACAGAGACGAGGCAGGTTGAAAGATCGATCAAAAGATTGTTAAATTATGAATGAATTAAGCTAAAAAGTGTGATTCTCGGGAACAGCTAACCCTTTAACGAAATCAAAATTTAACGTTACCGGCAGTAACGCGAAAGATCTCTGCTTTAGTGTTCGTACAACTAAAAAGCCGGTGTTGTTGTTGGTTACAAGACTCAGCGATGTACACGAGAAACGAAGAACGTTGTACAAATTTATTATACCGTAATCCGCCACGTCACTGTATATAAAGATAAAACGTTCTTTCGACTAACCTGGGTAACGGATATGTCCGTACAGACATCGCAGAATTGGTTCTTACACCCGTCACAAGAAGGATAAACGAGTCTAGCGTGAGATGAACAAAGGGAAACTGCGCGGGATTCGTAATCGCTACATCTGCGACAACGAAATCCACAATTTTGACAGAAAAATTTCCCGCAGAAACCATATTGACATTGTAACAACGACCACTCTGGGACTATCAGACCACAGTCTTCGCATTCCCCGTCGAAATCATGGTAACAATCAACCACTTCGCTGAAAAAATAGCGAGCAGGCATTTCTACATCCATAACGGAAGCCACCGGGGTTAATTGTTTATAAACAAACCGTTGAGCTTCCGCCAACGCGCGCCTTCCTTGCAGTTCCGAGTAATTTGATTGGCTACATCTTCATCTTTTCATTGGTTGAAACTTTTCAAGGTTATTCGATTTGATTGGTTGAGAAAGAAAAGAAGATCCAATATGGCGGATGGAGAAGCATCGAAAGAACTCACTGCAAAACAGCGTAAAAATAAGAAAAAGAAGGAGGCTGCCAAACGTAAAAAGCAGGAGCAAAGTCTTAAGGTATCTGCTGTTACGTTCGTTTGGAAATGTACGGAGAATGTTCTCAATTTAATCTTTTTTAATGCATATTTTAGGAGTCTGTCGAAGGAAGTGAGAAACACGATGGAAAGGAAACCCAAGAAAACTTCGAGGTAAAAACAATAAAAACTGACAAAATTTTTGAAATTAGTTTAATTGATGGATTTTTAATGTTACTTTGAAGTCAGCAGAGGACAAGTTTCATCGAGAGCTGAACTGGTGTATTGAACAGCTTGAGATGGGCCTTGCTTTTCAGAAGACTGACAAGAAACACGGTAATATTTTTTCGCTACTAATAACAGAGCAATTGATTTTGAAAGTCAAAAATAATATTTTGCTTTTCCACGCTCTGTGATTGGTTTGAAGCTCTAGTGCCTGCTAGATAACCAATAATACAGGAACGAACATGATATACCCGTACCAATTATAACTTGGTTGCTTGTGTAGATACCCCATCTTTCATTATTTGCTCTGAGATCATATCGTATTTCTCTATAAAGAGGGAGGGGAGGCAGTGAAGGGGGAATAGGGATGTGTAGGGTGGGAGGAGTAGGGGAGAGGAAATGGAGTCTGCAAGGGTAGATAGTGGGATTAAAATGAAAAAAAAAGAAACAAAATTGATAGCTTTTGTTTGTGTTAATAATATCATGATAAAAATATATTGCAAAAGTTGACACCAAGAAGCTCCAAAATCAGTTTACCAGGGTATCCCTCAGGGGGCTTATGAGTTTCCATGGCTTCCACATGGAGGGCTTTTTGAGAAGAGCAGAGGTCTATGTCTAACCCTTTAACCCCTGAGAGTGACTAGCATCTAATTTCTCTTTAGAAAATCATCCCTCAATGTTTCATTGAGGTTATAAGAATAAAAGAATGATCCCCAACTAAAGAAGCTCTTGATTTTGAACAAATTCTCCTTGTCAGCACCTCTGGAAATGTATAGAGAACAATATGGAGAAAATGCATACTGATGTTAGGGTGTAGGCCAAACAGCAATTCTTATTTGTCCGCTGAATCATCACCCAGATTCGATGAATACCACATACTGCAGGCTATGACAATCAACACTGATCCCCAGTTGCCTGATCTTTATTAGCCCCCTCTAATATTCAAACAAAATAAGAAAGAAAAATTTAATTTTGTTAAGGCTCACCTTAAAATTTGCAAGATGGCAGAAGAAAGTCATTTTCCTATGGCACATTTGGTTTGTAGCCTGTATAATTATATACCTTAAGTTGATTTTGAGTTTTTAATGACCTCAATACATCCCCTTATTTTTTACAACTTATTGCAGGGCGTGAAATTATGCCTAATGCAGGTGCCAATGTGACTAAATTTTCACTTTGGCAACCAAATCCTGAAAATTAGTCGCCAAATTGGCAACTAGAATGTTTCATTATAACCTTACCTAGAGATATAGTGAATTAAAAAGATTTGCAAAGATAAATCTGCAACAAACTTCCTCGTTAAGTTTGTTTCCAAAATGCACCACATGCATCTTGATCGATAACTAAACACCATCTTGGATTTAGGTGAGCTGGAATGTTGTATATCATCCGTGCTAGTGTCCACTTTGTAGCATGTTAAAGATCTTTTTCCCAACTTAATTTTGGAGGGTCTATCTAGAATGCTGATGGAATAAAAAAAAGGTTTAGTTTGTCTTTAAAAATGGCGACCAACTTTTTTCGAATTGGCTACCACTTTGAAGAATTTAGGAGCCAAGTGGATATCTGAAAAAAAGATTCATTTCATGCCCTGTATTGTCTCATTACCTTCAGTGGGTTGCTTTTTTGATTATATGCTTACTTTATGTTACAGCCGAAGTTGTACACCGTCATTTACGATCTCTAAAGTCTTCCAAAACACCAATGGTAAGTTAGAACCATTTATATTGCAGGGGAACTTTGCACTTCTTTTTTATGCAGAGTTGTTTTGTTAATGCTATTAGGGGTTTTTGATAACTAAATTTTATAACACTTGTGCTAACAGTATAAATATTGAATAAATAGTCAAATTATCTTTTTCACCCTTCTGGTTTGCCTTTGGTTTAATGTAAAAAAATTTTGATTGAAAAATATATTGTTCTCAGCCAAGAAAACGACAACTGATGTTTTCACTGTTTGGAGACTACAGAAAAAAGATGGAAGAAGACAGAAGAAGGGAAAAACAAGGTGACCTTGCAAAGTTAAAGAGTATTTTTACGACTAGTTGAATCATTTCCACACTTGAAAATTCAGTTGTCGTTCAGTTGTTCTGGAATCAGGAATCAGGAAATGAAATCTGTTTCCCTAATTTAGAGTATGTTTTATAACACAGGAGAAAAAATGTAATTTGATATTCATTTTCCTGAAAAATTGAAAATCAGTTGACACTAAGAAACACAGATGAGAAAGCTTACAGTAGGCTTCTTTTTTTTTCTTCAAATATGTAGAACCATCTGTGAATCCAAGACTGACTACTGTCAACAGGGAAGAACAAAAAAGCATTTTTGTCAAAGTTTGTCAGACAAAATGCAAAGATTCAGATAAGGAGGTCAGTGGCTGTTAACCCTTAATGCCTAAGAGTGATTAGCTTCTAATTTCTTTTTAAAATCTTACTACAAAATCAAACATCTAAGTTGAATGAATAAACAGGAAATGACCACTCACTAAAGGAGCTCTTGATTTTCAAACAAATTCTCCTTGTCAGCACCTTACTAGATAATGTATTGAGAACAGTATCGAGAATATGCATACTGATATTTGGACTTAAAGGGTTAAATTAGGGTAAAGACCAAAATGTGAATTAATTACATGAATTCTAATTTTATTGAAAGCACTTCAAGTCAATAAACTATGTATTTTAAAATTGACCCTTTAACTCCCATGAGTGACCAAGACAGAATTTCTCCTTACAATATAAACACAGTATCGACCACATAAGTGATGAGAATAAAGAAAAATATCAATTTGGGGATAATTAGTTGATCCAATACTAAATTCTCTGAACTAACATTATAAAAATTGTATGGTTGTCAGTAAGGAGAATTACACATTTAATCTGGGATTTAAAGAGTCAACTTTCCCTTGTGAGCTGATCCAGACTGAAATCTTTATTTTTTATTTTTTCATTTAAGTTTGTGTGGTTGATTTATTTAGTAATTATTGTAATTATTATTATTATCATTTTTAATTACAGAAAGCCACAGACAAAGAAGAGATTCCTTCAAACAATGTCTGGAAGTTTCAAACATCTGATAATGAGTTCAGATTTGATTTTGGTGATTCAAGAAGCTAGAATGTCAGTTGGACCAATTTACTTTTAAGTAATGTGGAAGTTATGTGATGCAAGGATGCAACAGGTTAAGGAGTAGATGAAAGCAAGGCATACTTCAGTAAGAGCAGTTACCACCAGCTTGTCGCATATTTCAGTCAGAGCAGTTACCACCAGCTTGTCACATATTTCAGTTAGAGCAGTTATTACCAGCTCGTCACATACTTCAGGCAGACCAGTTACCACCAGCTTGTCACATATTTCAGTAAGAGCAGTTACCACCAGCTTGTCACAAATTTCAGTAAGAGCGGTTACCACTAGCTTTCTAGAGAGAGTTAGTAAGAGTGGTATGTTAAAGTGTACTTTCAGGTAAACCATTTCATTTCAACTCAACTTGGTGAAAAACTTCAGTTAAGGAAATTGAATTTTTTTCAGGACATAAAATTTTATTTAAGAGATTAATAGGAACTACATTTCTTTTTTTTGGTGTTCATTTCAAGGCTAGTTTCAAGCAATTAATCAGTTCAGTTGAGGATGCAGTTATCATGTTGAGTTCAAAGTTTACTTTGTTTCCAAGCCTCTTGTCTATGTAGTGTTTTCCAACTTTTACAAACTCAAAGAGAAGTGCCTGCATTGGCAGATTGTTTGAAAAATGTATAATAAAACTGAATAATTATTGAATTCAGTTTTCACATGATATTGTGAACTATCTAGTCACCTTGTGTCTACATTATCAGCTGCCTCTGCCTTCGACTTTGGCAGATAACTCTGACTTTGGTCTTGATAATTCATGATATCATGCTCAACCTTATCCAATAACTACTAAGCGTTAGACAAAAACTATTTGTCTGTAAAATGTGTACGTAACCACAGAATTTCTACTCTCAGGATTTTATATTAACAATTGGACTCTCTCCTGGGTGTTCTCTATTCCGATTAACCCCCTAAGAGTGACTAGTATTTCATTTCTTCTTACAGTATCACCCCTGAATCAAATATTAAGGTCATAAGATTAAAAAATGATCACCAGCCAAAGAAGGTCATGATTGTTGATCAAATTCTCCTCGTCAGCCTCTTAGGATATGTACAGAGAACTTATTGAGAATATGCATACTGATGTTAGGGTGTAAAGGGTTAAATCAGTCATGATTTGGTGTCAAATCCAAATAGCACCTTCAGTTGATCTAGTTCATAGCATTGCCTTTTCTAGTCATCTTTCTCTAGCCTTTTAAGGGTAGAGTGACAAGTGTCTAATTTCTCCTGTGAGTATAACCACTAAATGGCTGTGAATATATGGAAATCATATATGTGAACTTCAGATTAATAAATGAATTTGAGAGCGATCTTTGCAGTGATGAATACTACCTAAACAGTAGTGAAATTAAGTCCAGCTTAAGTATTGTTCACTACTATGACAATTGCTTAAATCATATTCATTCCTTAATCCACAATTCACTTCAAACTCTTTTGGTAATGACTGACTCCCCACCCTCCTTTCCCTCTGAAAACTATGTGAATTTCCCCCCCCCCCCCCCCTAAAATCCTCTTTCTTAGCCCAAGTGTTAAATAACGACTGGTCTATTAAAATGGCATTAGATTCTTGTGTAGAGATTTTCATTAACTGAAAGTGATACATTTTTGTTGGATTTCAGTTTGAAGTACTCATTTTGAAGTGCACTTATTTCTGTTAATCAGGGCCTCTTCAAAATTCTCCAAAATTGAAACAAGCTCAATTTTTATGCTACTTATTGCATATCTTGTTAATAACTTTGCTTGAATTGGTAATTAACTCAATGTAAGTTCCATATCATCTCAAGAGGCAGTTTGACTGTAGCAGTCAGTATTTCACTGTTGATACTAGTCAGTTTACAACTAGTTAGAAGTGTAATGTGGTATACTTGGATCCACGGCAGTTGTTTTTTCATCACAACACAATTTTGATTGTTTGATCCAAAAGTAAACTGGTGCTGATTGTAGTTTGATGAGTTTATCTGTTGTGGTCTAGAAACTGCTTGTGAAGAAAAGTCTACTTTCAAGTGATGGTGAAATGAATTTGACATTTGAGACAGTCAAAGTATTAAGGGTTGAAGTGAATTCTTTGAATTTCACTAACCAGGTTTTTTTTCTTGATGTTACTCTTACAAAAATTTTTAAGGTAAAAAGTATTACTTTCAATATTTTAAGGACACCTAATGGGAGGTTGAATAATAGTAATTTGTTGTTTCTTTGTTTTCGTTCAGCCAGGGAATACATTTTTTGATCAGGTAAAATTCAAGGAAATTTGAAAATGCTGTCTTTTGCAATTATCATAATTGAACACTGTGGAGAAAACTTGAAGCAATAAACAAAGATGAGCTTTAATACCTCAATATAGCAACTTATATTTACATGATCTGCAAGTTACATGTTGTACCAAGAATCTTATTCTAATTTAACCTGTACATTGCAAATGCAACAAAATGTTTATGGGAAATGTTGCCCACAGTTGAGTTCTTGTAAAGCTCATTTTCAATGTGGGCACTCTTTTGAAAATTTAACAGTTTTACTCATTAAACACATACAATATTTTCCATGTACTGTCAGTAATCAATTTGAATTACTTATTGGTATCATCAACAACTCTAGTCCCCCATTGTTCTCTTTACAGAGGGAAGGCTATCTTTTTTACAAAGTAGTATAAAGTGCTAGACCTTCCTTAGTGTTGATGATCATGATGGATCATGAGGTTGTCCATCTCTTACTGTTAGTGATAGATTATACAACTCAATTTTAAGATAATTTAGTCTCATTTAAGTAAATGTCTTAACAAACATGTCTTTTATAAACTTTTTAAATACTGTTTCTTAAAATTATTTCAAAGTATTTCAAATCTTTAAAATTAAAAGTTCAAAGTTTAAGATAATTTACATGATCACCAGAGGAGCGTGGGTATTTTCCTTTCCAATATAGAGTCCTTCTTGTAAGCTAAGTCTTTTCTTTTTCTGTGCTCGGAATGAAAGCCTGTTCCCCTTTCTCACTGCTTCAGTTATTTCCACAGAGTTTCTCTGAGCTAGAGGAGATCTGGGAGCTGGAGCCACCTTGTCGGAGAAGAGCTTTTGTGGGACTGATTTTCTACGACCAGAAAGTCTCCTCTTCCTCTTGAAATCAGATGGGCTGGCGGTTTTTTTTAGCAAGCGAGCTGTATCTTTCTTCGAAATCGGAGCTTCGGGTGACACAGGCGTCATGGATATTTCACTTAGGATTTTGTTGATCTGAGTGATATCGGGCGATGGTGGCTCCTCGGCTTCGACGCTCGCGTTTCCGAACACTTCATCTTGATCAGTTACATGTACCTCTTGATCGCGCGATTTTGTGTTTTCACCATGATTTTCATCGCTTTCCTTCGATTTTTGAATGTTTTCCCTCGCGACAGGTACAGTAATTGGAGTGCGAGTAATTACAAAACTCGGTGATCGCGGATCAATGCACAGTTCTCTGTTTTGTGGCGATTCTTCGTAAGTTTCGAGTTGAATCGGTGTTCTCTGTTCTCCTAGTGGTGATCGAGGATCCGCGACTAGAAGTCTTGAGATCCGCTTATCCACAGGTTTCGGTGTTTCCGGAGGTATTTCAGACCATTGTTTGCTTTCTAAGGTACCCATCTTGGTGATACTTCATAAAAAAATTTGATAAATAATCCTCTAGTTACCTACAGGGTGGAACTTTGTGAAGATTTGATTTAAACGATCGAAGATTCGAAATTTAAATGCCCCGGTTTTGCGTGGCTGGTAACCAATCATGTTATTTTCTTGCGAAAAACCGCCAACCATCTAATCGCAGATTCTTTTCAGCTGAAATGGCGCTATCTTTATTGACATGTACAGACATTTTTCACAAAATACTCAATCAGTTCCTGACTATAAAAGTGTTTTCATCAAGCTCTAGTGATTTTATTTCTCCATTTCACTGCAATATTTTGATCGATCGTTGACCGAATGAAAGCTCTGTGCCGTTTGTGGACTGTTGGAAATCGATAAGTGATCAGATCTTATCTGAATATTCAGCGTATGTCTTGCTCAGACACGCGGAACGAACAATATCGTTGTTGTCGGGGTCTTAAGGTAGGCTTCCCAAAGATGTAAACACGTGCTGTGTAACCGAAATTCCTTTTGTTTTCTGTGCAATATATGAATTTTAATCTACAGGGATAAAGTTTTCGGTCTGCTCTGAGATTGATGCGAGACATGTACTAATTACTATTTCTTTAAAATTAATAGTCATTAAGTAAATTCAGTTTTTGAAACAACCGGAAACTGTATTACGAATAGAAGGTAATCCTTCTAGAGTGACACAAGAAGAAAAATTTTCTTTTTTTGTCGTTTTTAACTGTGTTTTCGTCGCACGCTGTTCACTTGCCTGGGATCACCTATCTACCAGCCACTGAGAGGGGAGGAGACAGGCTGTTGTCACCCTTGGTTACAAGCACGCCGAATACAAAACGGTTTTTATGATCGATCATAATTAGAGCTCATTTGTTGTGATTTAGGACAATTTGGTTAAGAAGTCAATATCTTTAAAGTTCTCTTTCCTAGTATCGTTTAATAATGACGCGATCTCCTTTTAGTGAACTTCAAGAGAACAAAATGGAAGAAAGCAAGCGAAAAACTACGACAGGGAGTGTGTTCTGGGAAGCTGCTGAAGAGAAGGCGAAACGTAGCGAAAGTTTACAAGAAGCTTTTAAGAAATTCAGAAAGAAGAGACAGGTAAACATTGTTCTTCACTTGTAAACTGTAGTATAATTTGTCTTTCTGTTTTGTGTTTTTCGTAACTGTTTTGTGCTTTGAAATGATTGCTCTTGACGTTACTTTTAGCTAAACCCGATGTGACAAATTGAAGTTGTGGCTATTAGCATGTTATTTATTTAACAATAAATAAAACAAACTGAAATACGTGGGAAAGTTGTTTTCAATAAATTTATAGCACTAGAAACGATTTCTTTTCTTGATGTTTACAAAACAAAGTAGATTTAAAGATGAAATTTAATTAAATTGTGAATAATTACCGAATGCGCTTGACAAAATTTTTTTCGGCCATTTGAATGAGACAGTTTTGAATGATGTGATCTTATTAGCTGTCGTACAACCTGTAGATGATTTGAAGGAGCGACACTTGTCATAAAATTGAAATTTTTCGTTTAGGAAGCTGGGGAAATTAATTTCAGATAGTGCTTTGATCAAATGCTTTTATGTGGAATGCCTCGTCTGTCTTCGATTCAGTTTAGTTGGTAAAATGAACCAAACCTTTACAATTATAATTTACCTTGCTCTACAAAGTATGTATACACATCTTTATAGAGGTGGTCTTGAAAAAACCCGTTTGTTGTCTAGGTGTCTAGTTCAGATGTTGCCTTGGAATTTTAAAATAAAATTGTTATGTTATCAGCTCTGCTGTAAAAATATTGATCATTTTATTGTGACACTGAACATTGCAGAATGCTATACGTTTATCCAAACAAGTTGATGAGGAGACCGTAAAGTGGAGAGTTGATCCTGTGAGAATGAATAACCTCCGAGTGAAATTTGTTGAGCAGTGTAAGCTGTACTTTGGTGTGCCTTATGCCAAGAAATACCAGGAACCAGGATGTAAGATTCAAATTTGCTAACTTTGAACTCTGAAAATATGTAATAGCAGTATTGCTTTTAAGAAGTGTGCATGTTGTTTAATTACAACATCAAGAAAAAATAATTTATATATCCAGGGTTGAGAGGGTTGCCTGTAAGATTGTGAGTGATGGGACTGTAATACAAAGTAAATGGCATTAGGGGTGTGAAATGTTCTCCTTTATTTTGTGCATAATGGGTAAAATAAATTTTCTAACTGGTAGAGCAATGCTTTTACCTGTCAAATCTTCAAGAATTCCAAGCGATTTTACAGTAGGTGGGGGAACCAGAGGAGATGCAAGTTTTTTTCTATCAGTTTCAACAATGTGAAGTGAGTTTGGGGGCAGTGTAACTCTGCTAGACAGTGCACTCTCTCAACCTCAACCTGGGGGCAACTTGACTCGGGGGTGGGGGGGAGGGGGACTTATTGGAAGGGGATGACATGAGCTGTCACTGAGATTGGTGAAAAGTTTTTAATAAATTGACTTGTTTCAGAGGAGTAACATTTGGCAATATACACTGAATTTTTGTTCCTAAAATGATACCGTTTGGCTGTTTTCAACTTTAAATCGTGTACAGTATATTAATAGAACTGAAACAGAATTTTGTGTCTCCACAGCGGCAGAGTTCAATGCACCATTCTTTCTTGATTGCTGTGGTTTGATCAGAAGGGTATTGAGGGATCTCAAAGAAGATTTTGGTTTTGAAGTTGGGCCATGGAATCAAGCCTACATGGTAAAGAGTTGCAGTTGTTAGCAAGGGTTTTTAGGGGAATAACAGTGAAATGAATGGTATAGTAGACAGACATTCACATTATAACAAGCAGAAACCATTAACTGTTTTAATGCAATATAGTTGATCAACCTTTATACACACGGTCATAATTATTCTAACATAGAGGTGAGACATACCACTAATAGTCAAAGTCTAATGATAGTATTTTTCAATATGCCACAGCATTTGTCATAGTTAAGAATTTTTCTTCTCATTTTTGCAGTACGATACACTTCCTCTCAATGTGGAGAAAACTGAAAACTTGAAGCCAGGAGATCTTGTGTTTGTGTCAGGAATTTATCATAATCCAAAATGTAGGTACTTTTAAACATCTGTCTGCTTACACCAAATAGGTAGTTATGATGGACAAGATTTTGGCAGCACATGTGCTATTTGTCATTTGCACTCATGTTACAATTTTGCATTTGTGTTATATGAAAAATGCACTTGTTTTCAGCCAATCAGATCATACTCTCTATCTTTCTTGTATATTGTTAGCACTGACAGTAATCAGTCTGATTTTGAACTAGAGGTCACAATCATGTTTCTTATGTAGACATATTCTTTAATTTATTATTTTGTGATTTTACTCTTTAGGTATCACTTAGTTTTTAACATTACTTGTCAACATTTATATGTATATGTTGTGGTTAAATTTTATCCTTGGTTCAAATTTTATTTTCTTTTGTTTTTGGGTATTGTAATGTATGATGATGAGTTTGAAACAAAGGAAAGTAAAATTTGAACCAAGGATAAAATTGAACCACAACATATATACTAATAGTTCTTCCCTACTTGTGTTCTGGCAACTCTTAAAAATTGCAAAGCTTGTGATGTTTCTTAAGGCTGATAGACTCCCAAGTATAAGGCGTAAAAATAATTACTTTGTATGGATAGATCAATTTTAGTTTGTCTTCCTAACTTAAAATTTAATAGTTCCTCAGCCTGTTCCATAGACTGCCAAACTTTTAAGGTTCATCAAGCCTGATGATGTCAATGTCGTCCAACAAGCATGAAGAAGCTAATGAACTAGATGTCACTGAGTTGGTTAAGATTTTAAAAATACAGCATACCAGTAGGAGTTATCACTAGTTAGTTAATGCCTTCAACTGACAGAGGCAAATCGTGATCTTGTAACTTTTAGCAAAGAAACAGCGTCACAACATGGTCCATGTTGAAGTTTGGGCAGGAGATGGAGAGAAGACCATTGGTGCCAGATGGCAGAAGGGGAAGTAAGTTGACATATTCTCTGACTGATCCTGACTTCAGCTGAGGTTGTTGAAACATCAGTGTACTCTTAAAAGCCCTTTTCAGGAATACTTGTCCATATCTAAAGGCCTGCTTATTCAACTTCTGGTATCTTGAACCTTTAACATATTGATTAGCATCTAATTTCTCCTTACAGTACTGCTGAATCATTCATTATAATCATGAGAATACAGGAAATGATTGCCAACCCAAGAAGCTTTGATGAATAAGCAAATTCTCCTTGTCAGTACCAAACAAAATGTATAGAAAGGAGTATGGAGAATATAGATTCTGATGTTAAGCTGATGACACTTGGCCTTTTGTGTGTAAAATTGCTGATATCTGGCATATGAGACATCTGCACTTTTTTGCCAGAAATGAAATTGTACTGTGATTGGCAAACAAAACTGCCAGGTGTGTCACTGGCTAAAGGGTGCAAAGAGTCAAGATTCATGGTTCAGAACATAAGTTTTTGATTTATTAATTTCTGGATTGTTTGATTTTTGTTTTGAGTGATCTCATCTTGATGTTTATTATGTGCAGGGTTCAGTACCATGACTCCTACAAATTCAATGCCAAGAGCTATCACAGCATGCAGTATCATTTCAAATCCATCGATACTTGGCTAATGGGAATTTGTCAGAGCCACTGCCCAGAACACTCATGGAAGCGATCACAGTTTGAGCCAGGAAAGAGGTCCATCTTTGCTGAAGATCAAGGAAATGAAACAGAAGATCAAAATGCAGAAGAACTTGCAGATGAGGAGATTGGCAGTCAAATAAATGATGATAAACAGATGCGTCCTTGCAGCCTGTTGAATATTAGTTGCTCCCAAAAAGAGGATCACAGTTTCCCTGTCAAAAAGAATTCTAATCAACAAGCTGTTTCCTCTCACATCACTTCTCCAGAGTCAAACAAATGTTATGATACAGTTTCCTTCGATCATTTTTCTACAACTACAACAGCCCAACTGCTGCAGAGAAACTTTAACAGCCTCGATGAATGTGTTACTTGGTTGCTGACAAAGATAAGCATGGATATTGAGAGTGAATGTAATGACGCAATTTCTGACATGGAAGAAATTGGGTTACATTCAAGTCGTCAACAGACAGAATATTCCTCCTCAAGTGATCACTACAAAAATAGAATTCCAAAGGATCACTCTGCAAGCAAAACTAAAATGGAATCAACAATGCAGTCAAACACTGACCAAGACTGTGGCAGTGTTAATCATTTTGATGTTTCTCAAGAGCATGATCAGAATGACAGTGGAAATTTAGAGTACTGCAAGGAAAATTCTTCATCTTTGGAGTGTTTTGACTTTATGCATACTGGCATGAATTGTGATCCATTTTGTATAAACCAGTGTCCTAACAATTCAGACAGTAATCACAGTCGAAGCAAATCCAGAAGGTCCGTGTCTCCTTCCAAGGCTACAAAAAATGGGAAAGGTTGGTGGAATGGACTTTTTTTGTGTTTGTTTTGTTTGATGTTGATTGACTGTATATCAGCATTAGTTTGCACATGGAAGATATTGTTCGAATTGTAAAATCAGTTAAAAGATAGCTAACTTTAGCCAGTTGAAATAGACTCAAGTTAATGAAGGAGAATTTCTGCAGAATTGGAAAAGATGGGGAAATAATGGAATTAGGTGCGTTTTACGGCAGTTTAAAAAGTCTTGATTCCATGAGAGCTCATCATTATGGTACATTCTTGGGCAAGACACTTCACTATCACACTGCCCCTCACAACCCAGGAGTGGGAATGGGAACCAGCAAACAAGGGAAGCCTGGTAAACTGTTGAGTGTAACCCTGTGAATTATTTGTTTTGATCATATTGATGCAGACTCCGGGAGTGGTTCCTCGGGCAATGGAAGAGGGAATGGAAATGAAAAGAACAACAACAGGGACTCCTCTCGTAGGAGTGGTGCAAGATCAGTCAGTAGTTATGTGAATGGTAAACAGCCAAGGTTCTTCATTGGAGGAGGAAATGGAAATTGGATGTAAGAATAGACTTATTTAGTAAATCAGACACGTTGAAACAAAGATGTCTTCTGGGTATGCAAAGAAGGTGGTCATTCAGGAGATATTGCTGCTCAGAGAATTCTCTGACTGTTCTGGTTAATTTCTTATTCTCAATGAGTTATCAAATGGTGGCTCATTGATTATCAGTTGATTATTGGCCCTTGGCTTTCATTGATAATTGATCAATTAGTTATGTGTGGAAAACACCTGGAATTACCGCAGATGAATGTTGTAGAGTTATAAAAACTTTCCTTAACTTACCAACAGTTTGCATGCAAATCCAGAAAAGCTGGTTGGGCTTTTAAATGCGTTTCTGGAAGAGCCGGGATAAGGTTGTGTAGAGTCAATAAACAAAGCATTAGTGTGGAAAGAATTTTGAGCAATTTCTTTGTATTTAGGATCGAATCAACTTTGGTTTCACTTGGATGGTCTAGAATTGAGGACAAGTTGGATGAATCGTTCAAACTCAAATGGGTGGAGTGCAAGAGTCAGATTAACTATGAAAATTTCAGAGATGGTCAGTGTATTATCTGTTCCATGATTTGTTGCTGTTTTCTCTGTATTCACGTCAAAGTTAGATTGTGTAAAATAGTTGTATTAGGAAAGAAGTGAAATGTTTCTGCTAGCCATGAAGGCCCAATAGTTGACATGCTGGATGTAAGAGTTTGTGTGGCCTGTAAGTAGGCCCTCACCATTTGCGTCTTAGCACGAGTGTTTCTTCGCCCGCAAGAAAGTATCAGGCCTGAGAAAGTATGAAACCTTGAGCAACGCAGGTCGGCGAGAGGTGTGGAACGGGTCTAGCGCTGATAATGAAGTAGTGCCAGACCCCCGGAAAACCTCTACCCAAATCGTCTTAAACTTTCCGTGGGCAAAGAAATGCCAATAATCTCTCCAAGCAGGAGTGTAACTAAGAATGGGTGAACTGTTTGGTTGACTTGACAAAATGCTGGGGGTAACTGCGACTAAATTAAGCATCCCATTCAGAGGATTAGCAATTCTCTTAGTCGTTCCCTTCTACAGAAATCAGGATGTGCTTTACCAGCTTGAACTGGTGGACTCAAGGAAAATAGTTTAGGATTATTTTTTGAAATGGTTAGATTCAGAATCCTCCCAAAGCCAGATTTTCCTATCATAGATGTTGGCTTCATGTTTTTCTTTTCTTTTTTGTAATTCAGGTGAACAGTTGGCTAATCACATTTCCAACATCAACTTGTTGACAACAAAGCTGGGTCTTCTGTGCAGCTTGGAGGAATATCAACGCGTGCAAGAGAAAATGGCCAAGAACAAGTTAGTGATTATAACTTAATATCACACATGCAAATGAGAAGTTTGCGAGTTACTTCTTCTAAAAGTATTACTACCGAATAAAAAATTAAGGTCATGAGAGTGGAGGAAATTGTCATCAACCGAAGTAGGCTTTTGATTGATGTACAAATTCTCCTGTCAATACCTTGGGAAGTGTACAAAGAACATTATAAAGAATATGCATTCTGATACTGGGCTATAAATTGTTAAATTACACTTCATTCCCTGACATGCAAGCTAAAGAGAGTGAAGAAATGTGTGACAGTCAGGGAATAATAGAGTTTATAGCCATTAGTGGGGCATGGGGGATTGTTTTTAAGACGTTAAATGGTCTTGCATAGCAAGCAACATGAAAAGGTTACAAAAGTTGCTACCATAATAACTTGCTAAGCAGACGTCTCTTTATTTATGTGCAGGCTAAAATTTCCTCTGAGTGAGTTTGTCCCGGAAACTCACAAACTGATGAACACAACAGAAAAAGCCAAGTTTGTGAACGAAGTTTACAAAGGTCAGTTAAACCAATCGGTAATTATTTTTTCTTTCTTTCTTTTTATATTTTTATTGTGTGTAAGTAGCCTGATATGTTTTAACTCAATTGAAACTGTAGCACGATTTTCATTTGTATTATACTTCTGATCAAAAGCCTTCTTTCATTTAGAACTCTTTTGAGTGTCATAAAACTGAAACTGAAGTAGCCACGTTGGCCAATCAGAACGGGGTCGACGTATTTTCGAACCGATAAGAACTCTCAGTAAATTCATTTACCGGCCTAAAGCGCGGGAAAACGTTTGTGACCAAGTCTCGATTGGCTATAGTTTTGCATTTGATCGGTCGAGACGTTTAGGAGCATTTTCTAGACCAATCACATAGCATGGTGACTCATAGAAACACCAAGCTGGATTTCCTTCGAAACTCAATTGAAAATTGATCTAAAGAAAAAATTTAATGCAGCATAACTAGTAGTTCTTTTTGCTCTTTCAGAAGGTGAAATTTGGATCTGCAAACCGACGGGTATGAATCAAGGAAAAGGAATTTATCTTGTTAATAGCAAAGAGCAACTGATCGAAAAGCTTAACATGAACGGAGGTGATAATGCAAGTGCCAGACGAAGTTTAGTGAGGCCCCCACAAGGACGCGTTATACAGAGGTACTCTTATTTGTCGACTTTGTGTAAAATGACGGATATCTTTTCAGTCACCATTTAAAGCACGAGAAAAGCTCGGTTTAATGAGTGACTTTTACCGGGAGCCTTAAATGAGTAACTATATCCGAGCACCGTAAAACAAGTATCCTTTGCCAAGGAATAGAAAATGAATAACTTTTTCTAAGCGCAGCAAAACGAGTAAGGGCGGGAAAATGAGGAACCTTTGCCAGACGCGGATAAAGGGTCAACGTGTGCTAAGCGCGGGAAAACGAAGAACCCTTGCACAGCGTGGGAAAGTGAGTAACTTTTACCAAACACTGACGGAAAAAAGGGTCAACGTCTGTCAGGCGTAGGAACGCAAGTAAAATGGCGTGAACATGAATTACTTTTGCAAAGGACGGGAAAACGAATAACCCCTTGCCACGGGCGGGAAAATGAGTAACTTTTTCCAAGCGTTGGAAAACGAATAAACTTTTCTAAGCACTAGAAAATGAGTAAGTTTTGGCAAGCGCCGACAAACGATTATCTTTTGTCACGCGCGGGAAAAAGGATCAACGTTTGCGACGTGCGAAAACTTGTGACTTTTTCCAAGCGCGGAAAAATGAGTAACCTTCACCAATTGCGGCAAAGTGAGGTATTGGTATTAATGTTAAGCCCAGAAAGCTTTTTCTCAAGTATCACCAGCGAGTTTAACAGGTATGACAGTGACAGGCGATTTGCAGCGGTTTTCAACTGATTGTGATGCATGATGAGTTAACAAAATCTCTTTCTCTGTTACAGATATGTGATGAATCCTCTCCTGTTAAATGGCTGTAAATTTGACATTCGTACGTACATGCTGATTGCTAGTACCACTCCTTTCATAGTTTTTTATCATCCGGGATATGTGCGACTCTCGTGTGTCCCGTATACACCCTACAGTCCGGATGCCGCTGGACTGCATGCTCATCTTACCAATCAGGTCAGAGTTATGTAAAGGTTAAAAAACTCGTCAGCTTCTATTATTTGAGTAAAGCACTGATGACTTCATTGGGGCATAAAATTATCTCGCTCTACTTGATGTTGATGTTGCCTTATTTGTGTTTTTCATACAGTATGTCCAAAAGAAACATCCTTTATATTCATCTATGAAAGAAGACACTGTCTGGAGTTTCGAACGTTTGCAGTCTTACATCGACGAGAAGTATGCCAAGGAGAAGGAACTCCCTGAAAACTGGGTTTACACCACATTTACGGTGAGTGGTTTTGACTGATACTGTGAATGGCATTGTCTTTTAAATGGGGCAGATTTTGGCTGTATGCAGATGCGTTACGTTCAGTTGCTCTAATCCTGCAAGTGTGCGTTTTATAAAGCTGTACTTACTTCTTTGTTTAAGTTATGAAATGATTAATATTGTGTCAATCTCCTTTTCCTTATTGCACCTTTATTTTTCTCTCTTTAGAAACGCATGCATCAGATCATGACAACGTGTTTTCACAGTGTTCGTCAGAAGCTTCACAGGAGAGCGGGAACATTTGATTTGCTAGGCTTCGATTTCCTCATCGACGACAATTTTAAAGTGAGTCAAATGCATACAATTATCCCCAAAGTGTGCGTTGGATATAAAATGATAAATAACGAAGAAGGCACGTAGCTTAAATGTTTTTAACTTTAACATATCCAACAAGTGTGAGCATGATAATTATTCTGTTTAAAACCCCCAAAACGTCTCAAGCGGAGGCCCATGTTACGTTCAGGTACCATATTCAGGTACCATGGCCTGTAACCAATCAAAACTTAGAGGTAGACTAGCATCAAATTTTTCATTGAAGTATCGCTGCTAAATCAAACATTAGGCTCGTGAGGATAACGGAAATGATAGCAAAGTAAAAGAGCTATTGATTTTACCGAAATTCTCCTTGTCAGTGCAATCAAAACTGTATGAAGAAAAGTATGGAGAATATACATAGTGATGATGGGGTGTAAAGGTTGAATAATGATCATTGGTTTTCTGTGTATTGTGCTATTTGGATGGACTATTCTAATCGAAATAACTACAAGGTCTGCGCGGCGCACCTCAAAGCTGAAAAAAAAAACATCGTGGAGAAAGATGGGTTTTCGTCTTGTCACGAGCGAGGGACAAAGAAAAAATTCTGAGTCCCCATGAGGAATCGAACCTCAATCGTTCGGATTTTACCATTTATTAGACTTATCTTCTTTCCTATCCTTTATACAAAACACGACGCTATCGACATAGCTGATCCTAGCAGTATGCAGGACGCGTGTCATATATGAACTTCTTAATGGGCCTTGCTCACCATCAAGTCTCTGTGGCTCAGTGGTAGAGCATCGGAGCGCGGTATCCGATTCTTTATGTTATGTTTTTTTTTTAAAATTTTGTAGAGGCATAAGTTGTTTTTCTTTCTGCCTTCAGGTGTGGTTGTTAGAAGTGAATATTAACCCTGCACTTCATACCAACTGTCAGGTTCTGATGGATCTCTTACCCGGAGTAGTTGACGAGACGTTGAGTAAGTAAATGAGTTGTTGGTCGTTCTCACTTGCGGCCGAAAGCCCTCGCAATTTACCGATATGGCCCTAAGGAAGTCTTTACACTATTAAACTTAACTAAGACGTTTAAAAAAGGTTTTAAACAGGATACATAACCTCACTTAGCGAAAGCGATTACATATTCAGAAGTCATCCGTAGTTATAATTATTAGACCAGTTTTGAAATTTATTGTCGTCAGTAATCCGGGATTACTTTGTTTTTGTTCTACTTAGTCGTTTCGTGATTGGTCCAGAAAACTCGCGCCTTTTTCTCAGCCAATCACATTCAAAACTAAAATCAATCGCGACTTGTTCACCCACGTTTTCCCGCGCTTCAGGCAGTTTGCTTGTTTGTACTTTGAGCTATCGTTGGCTCATCTTTCTTCCTATGATTGCTTGTTGTGTTGTGATTGCCTTGGTTTTGGCTTCACCACACTCAATCGAAAAGTACTCAGGGTAATTTAGTATTATCATCTGAGTTGATAACGTAAATTGGCCACCGTATAGAGTTTCAAAGCTGACGTTTCGAGCGGTAGCCCCTTGTTAGAGCTAACGTCATAACTTAACGGCATAACGTCATCATTCGCTCCGACGAAGGGCTAACGCTCGAAACGTCAACACGTCATCTTTGAAACTCTTTAAGGTGGACAATTTACGTTATCAACTCAGTTGATAATACTTAATCACCCTGTTATACTCTCCCACCGACGCAACACCACATTTTCTTTAGAAACTTACCCCCTTTATTCAAAAACGCACTCGGTTGGATACTTTTCATTAAGCACATTTTGAGACGATTCTTTTGAAATGAGTGTTCTAATTACTACTACATTTGTTCTAGAACTTGTAATCGAGATTGCTGACAAGACCAAGAAAAGAGCTCCGGTTTTTCCTTTAGAAAATCAGAAGGGATTTCAATTGTTGTACAATGGAGAAGGAAAATAGAACTAGAACGATGTAATTGCGAGCGACATAGATATGAAAGAACTCAAGACGCCGTGCTTACGGGTCTGAATTATTGGTACAGATGGATCATACTTGCAAAGAGCCTATCCTTGAAAAAGTAAAAGGCACCGATCTGGCCACTTGGCGTCCGCCAAGCAGAATGCAACGTCAATAAAAATAACGGTTTGAATAAATGGATGTACAGCGAGTCAAAAATTGCGCTGTTCTATGATCATCGTGTCAAGAGTTACGTGGTTGAAAAAGGACGACGATACGAAAATGAATAGTGCATGCTAGTTTCTGTGAAGAGTGAGAGTTTCGTGATAATCTACTTGGTTGTAGATACTTTTGGAGTGCAAGCTTAGATATGCCAACACAACGGTCAAACGTTTCTGGCCGCCCGCGCACCAATTTCCCGCGCAAACTTTTAAAGGAAAACATAACAAGTTACAGCTGTCTTGCAAATTAAACGAAACAAAATTGAAACGTTCAAAGCAATCTGTTAAAGGAATAAAAAGATGGGGAAATGGAAAACTCCAGACTTTTCGAACACAACACTTTTTCAAGTACGGGTTTCCAATGAATTTATCATATTTTTTTAAGCTTTCCCAAAAAAGTTATACGCTTTTAAAACACTGTGACTTACTGACTTGTGTTTTTGTATGTAACTCGTTTTCATGCACATGCGCAGAAGGTTGTTGTATAGACTGTGAATCGAAGATTTGCATGTAAATTTTCTTATTATTCTTCTATTTGATGAGTATTGGTGAAATTATCCAGGGATCGACTTGCCTCTGAACACGAAAATATTTCGCTGTTTCTGCGAGTGTTAACAGGTGTATCTTAGAGAAATCCTGGTGAATGAAGGTGTGTTTATATTTGAGTTTGAATGAGGTAATGGTAAATGTGTTTGAGTTTTCCCATTATGGTTAAAAGAACAGATGTTAAGTCAACTGTTACGCCATAGAAAAATTAAAAAATTAATGGACCGTATTTTGTATTTTTCAACTTTCAGTATTTATAACGTACAAATGAGAGAAAGTTTTTTTAACGTGTGGATAAGAGTACATTCTTTCTCCTATTTTTGCCATAACAGTGGCGTTTACTTCCTTGTACTACTAGTAAAAGCTGATCTTTTTGGAGAAAGGCCTTTTCGTTTTATCAACCTCCTTGGTGTTAGACGTAACACTCTCTCTCTTCATATCAACGAAATTCTGGAATTCGATTCGTAGCTTCCTCGCTCTATTAGAACTAATTACAACATAATAAAGTACAGTACAGCTGGCCCATTGAAGTAACTCGGTCGACAGAAATTGGCTCGCACCCAAGAAAAAAAACTACAAAAAAGACAGCGCCTAGTGCCCTTTAATTCAAATTAACTTTGAACCATTCAATGCCATCAATAACAATTTTGATCCAATTCTGTATCTTTCATGACAGCCGCTTTTTTTTCATCGAAATAATTTACCCTTGGGTACCCCTAACCTTTTTAATCGGAGGTAAAAAAAAATACTTGGCTTGTCACTTCCCATTTAGCAAATTAGCGTGCATAAAAGTTGTGATGTACTTGCGTGGCATATTTTATAATTAATCACGAATCTTATCTTTCATTTCTGTAAGCTCGGCTGTATTTCGAAATTTCGTCTTGCGTGGGGCTTTCCCTCAATTAGGAAAACCATGGAACTTTAGTTTGGCAGAATAGAAAAAATTCTAAAAGGTAACTACGGACTGTAAAGGTTGGAGAAAGTTTTCATGGATTCCAAATGACTAACTTAAAGAAAATAAGGTAAAATGTTTTCAAAAAACATAAATTTGTTAGCTCCTTTTAAGTTTGACAGTAAACTTTCTCCATTTATTGACTGCCTGCCTGACTTTTCAACGTATAACGTGGTGGGTGGTTTCATTTCTTGTCAACCCAACGAAAAATATGGCGTTTATTTTACTAAAACCGTATAGCAGTGCTCTGTTAACCAAATTCACGTTTTATTTCTTATAATTAGGATCCCAATTAATGATAATTGCGTATCATATATCAGAAATTATGCCAATAATTACAGTTACTTAGCGAATAATTGGCACATTTACAAATGTGCTGGGGTAATTAAAGTTTTATCACAAGAACACTTCCTCAATTTAATCGGTTTTGCTGAGTTCTCGTTGATAATATTTCCACCGTATGATTTGAACTGCGCTACCTTTAAAATTGAATAATGAAGAAAAGGCGCTTCCCTTGAAACGGAAAAAATAAGGTGTTCAAAAGCCGCCCGAACTGGGGGAGGGCGGCAAAGGGTTTAAGCATGAAGCGTGATCAAGCCCAAAATTAACACGTGACGCGTGAATTTTACAGAAAGGCAAGGCAAGGTGAAATTTGAAGGGTTTCCCTTCTAAATTCGTTACCTGTGAAATACTGTTTACTAAAAGTGCACGTGACGCGTGAAGTTTTCTAAAATTCGTGCATGAAATGGAATCGCTATCCCCCTGGGAGTTCTTTGAGGTAAAAAAGAAGTTAGCGTTTATTAGCAAATGATATGTACTTAGTAATTGACGATAACGAATGCGAGAAGGTTTCGTTCTTTGTTTTCGGACCGTTTTCAGAGAGGTTGGCTCAGCATGAGGTGAAGCGTCTAAATAATTCAAAGTTGCTTTTAATTAGAATAGGTCAGGAAATAGACAGGTGCTAATTAGAAGGTGGTTGCACAAGATGGTATTTTCAAGACAAAATCGAGAGGCACGCTATTTAACTTGGAAAAGCTATAGAAAATTATGCAAACGTTACTTGAAAATTTTCCTCGAGAAGCGGATGACATTTTGCGGTTAATTTGTTAACAAATTTTTGTTATTATCTTAATGGATTTGGACATATATATAAAAAGATCAGCGTACGAGTTTTGTGTTCATAGGATTAGCAGTTAACTCTTTCACACAAGATACAAATTTCGGGTATACATTTCCGAGCTAAGGATGAAATCGTCAACTGTTTTTGTTTTCTTTTTTGTTTTCGTCTTAAATATTTCCTGCCTTGTGTCAGTGCAGAGCAATGGATGGAGATGCCCTTTTGATTACAGCTGCGGAAAAAGAGAGGTTTGTGAAACTGAAAAAACAAACTCTGATCTAACAAAGTGACAGGAATTGGAAAAACATGTTCCACAAAATTATTTACTTTAAATTTACCTTAAACTTGTAGAGCACCAGCTAATCAGTTATTTCACGATCGTCAGTCAGATACGAAATGATATATGTATCGACCAACGAACCTACTGGCAAGTTCGCTTCCCTGATTCATTTAAAATTAGCACAAAATATCGATATATATTGCTAACTGACTTTATTTGTGAATAATAGCAAAATATGAAAATATTTGCCTCTAGTTTTCCTATGGTGCAGTGGCTCATATACCATAGTTGATAAGCCAATCAAAACACTCGAATGTTCTACAGAATTTTAAAAAAAATTGGTATACTGGTGTCTTAGTAGAAACGAAATACACACCTCAAAATTATCTTCCTTTTGGTTGAAAAATCGTCGGAGGGAACTAGAATTGGTGAAATTTTGAATGATAGAAGGCTTATCTAAGTGTTTTTCTCCACATATCTCAAGGAGTAAATTTAATGGTCTTTCTTGTATAGATGAGCGACAAAACTGCCCTACCACAGAGTCGTTTTGGCAACCGTCTTCGTTCTCTGAGAAACTTCCGTCGGATGGCTGAAGAAAGAAAAGAAAGGGTGGATGCGAGAGGACTGAACAGAGCCGCCATCTTGAAGGCTTATGGGAACGGCCAGTGATCAACAAGAGTACAAAAGAATTAAATAAAGTTCAAAAGGAATAAATTTTTTAGATATAATATGAATGTAATTTAAGTAATTGAGCGAGCAATAAATTTTTGTCTTTATGGCGTTGAATTGGCGCAATTTCGTTTATCTTAAAGTTTCGCTTTCAGCCTGTCACCATTTTCAGCCTAATTCGAGTCAAAAGGGTGAAAATCTTTCAATCGGGTAGATCAGTGCCTCTTTCTATTGACCCTGAAATCAGCGGCATAAAAACTCTTACTCTGAGTTCTGCTGCTCATAGTGGAGTTTGACTTTAGTAGTACTACTACTGAGCCGTTAGCTAAAACCGAACATGAAATATTCCGAAGGTTTGGCTTCCAAAACAAATTTAATTTTCTTATTTTAGTTTTTTCATTTCAAAGTTAGAATTTCAGACGTGACTTTCAGGCCCAGTTCTAGAGAAATTTAACTGTGGTCAGCAACGGCAAATGCCGGCATTGCAACTGTTTTTCAAACAAACCTTTCAAACAAGGCCAAACCACAAAGGTTCTATTCTTGAAGTCACGTCTCCTGTTTTTACAGAAGAGACATTTGCTCTGGTTCAGCTCGGTTTACCAGTAAGTAATGGAAAAAGGGCACATAAACAAAGGAAGCCTCTTTCGGATATTCCTCTAAAATTAGAGAAATTTAGAGATAAAAAAAACGTTGTCTTTGAAAACGTATGGGAAGACGCTGTGGTAAATTTATTAATGCGCTGGACTCCTGGTAGAGAGGTCTGGGCTCGAGACCTGGCCGAGTCAAAGTGTTGTGTTCTTGGGCACTTCACCCTCACAGCGCCTCTCTTCACCCAGGAGTATAAATGGGTACCGCCAAATTATCAGGGAAGCTTGATGAAATGCTGAGGTATATAACCTTGTGATCGACTGGTCGCCCATCCCGGGGGGAGTAGTAGGTTTAAATTCCTGGAAGATCCACTATGATTAGCATGACGAAGTAACAAAAGCAGTGCCGCATCAACGAAGTAACCCAGATTGGCTTGTTACTGGAGCGTGTATTTCAATATGCTTTGCATGATAGATTCTAAGAAATGAATATAACGAATTACTCTTTTCTCCAGAAGCTACTACAGACTTGACGAGCAACTGCTGGTAGATTAGGGAATACAAAGCTCATTTGAGGTAATTTTGTTCCAAGGCTCAAATTGAATGATATGAACCAATTCATTCATGGATCGCGTAATATCTATGATTTTATTCGGACAAACTAAACATAGTATTTAAAATTCTGAATGGTTAACGAAATGGGGATTTGTTTTCGTTTTTTCTTTATGCCTTGGTGCAAAACATGTTGTTCGCGCGTGTGTCGTTGGGAGGAGGGGGTTATTCATTCCCTAGGGTTTTTATAATTCGGCTACCAGTGGTCTTCTGCCGCCTTTAAGACCTCTCACCACCGTCTGGGCATGTTGAGCCTGCAAGCAGGCTCTCATGTTTGTGCATGCGTTGGGTCTTACGAAAAGCGGCCTATATCGCCATAACCAGCCGCTCATTAAAAAAGTTATTGAAAGTCTTGCCTTCCTATGTGATGCATACAAGCTTAGCTTAGGATGATAATAGTTCATCTAAAATATTATTGAAAGTGGTTTTCAAGCCTCTGAGGTCTAAGAAAGTTGAAGACAGAACTTAGAAATAGGCGGCGAGCTGCTGCAATGAAATAATTTTATTTCCCATTATATTTAGAAGATTAATTCAAGTTATTTTAATCAGAATAACATTCTTATATATCTAAATAATTTGATTATAACATTTCATAAATCTAGATTTATCAGAACGTTTATCTATAGATATTTTCTTCATTCTTGATTATTCTCCCGTGCTTTCAGGAAGTCTTTCATTAGCGAGTCCTCTGTTAGATTTCATCAATGAATCTTTTTCATCTGATAGCGAATAGATACTCCTGAGTAGGCGAAGTCGATTTGCTAAGCGGCTGTTTGAGAGAGCTGCCTTGTCATCTATCTGCAAGAATAGTCATATTTCATTTTTTTCCAAAAAGATGAGTTGTGGGTCAAATGCTTCATAATTTCCTACGCGGTTTCCTAAGTATGATTGGAGTACTATTGTCGCTATTCTGCCTAGACAAGCAGATTTCTCAGATAGTTCGCCGAGAACTCATTATATTACCTAAGGTTAAGTTGCTTGCCCACAAAACGCAACACAACGGCATTGCTTAGGC